CCCATGATATTTTTTAAATAAGAGTGCAATAAGTGTAAATATAGTGTATTAATAAGTGATAAATCTTGAGATGCTAATAGGAATTTATGAACACATTTTACCAATTTTTGGAGGGACTCCAGAGTCCCATCATACTTTTCACATTTGCCTATATTATAGTCTGTCACTTTTGATCAATATCATTTATACTGGCTTAGGTTAGCTAAGCCTAACACCTCCCAAACAGCTTTAGGGGCGAGGCCACGCACCTTTGGTGTCTCGTTATACTATCTGTTGCAGTCTGCTCATTTAACTATAGAAGTGTATCTGCCATGCCACCCTCTTTTCTCTCTCACTGTATAAAATTACTGCTCAAACTGACTATAGGCACATGATGCATGGGTTGCCATAAATGTTTAAATAAAAGCCTGGGTGTTTATTTCTTTGCAGGACAAAAAAAATTTCATAAAATAAAAAAATTTAGTATCTGGATTTGAACTTGTAACTCTAGGATCATTGAACTCAGCTTATCTAGTTAGACCATGTGGGACCCTTTGAAGTGGAGGCTACCTATATTGAAAAAAATATGCGTATCTATACTTGGAGATTATTATTACCAGGCATTTATTCATGCTTTTATTGGAACATTTATGATAGATAGTAGATACACTTCATTATGTTGTTACATGACATTATCATTCTCATACAATGCATGTTGTTTATTTGTTTTATTTACAATGCAAGCACTATTTCTACAAATAGGCATGTTTTAAGATACTGTTTCATATACAACATGTCTGTTACTCATGCTTTTTACAATGGGATAACATACGCCTAAAATGATGCACTTAAGTGTAGGGCAGGGTATTTCTGGCAGACAAATAATTTTGTCAAAATCTTTTTTCTATATTATGTTTTAACATGTTGAAGTTTGTTATTGAGAAGTTTTAGCAACCAACAAACACATCAATAGCATAGTATAGCATCTTTTAAGGCAAAATGATTAATTCATCCAAATGTTTAAAATTTCACTGTAGCATGAGGCAAAATAATTTTAGCAAAATGATTTTTAACCAAAATTAAAATACACGTAGATGTTATGAAGTTACAAATACTTCACTTGTTACTGCTTGTTATTTATTATAAGGTGTTTATATTTTTAAAATGAGAGTGACATGACTGGTGTCATTATGGTAATTATAATTGGTCTATTTGTTCATAATATTGTCTCTGTTTACAGGCATTGATAACATATAATCCTTCTGTGTGGCCATATTCTGATTCTTTTTGTGGTGGTATCATCATTGGTAAAACAAAGGTACTAACAGCCTATCATTGCACTATTAAATCATTGCAGACACACGAAGTGTTTCAGAATGAAGATGTGATTATCACTGTAGGTAAATTATTATCCTTAAAGTTTACATTTTAGTTATGGTAGTGTATCCTAAAATTAGTAACCTAGTTTTATAAGCTATGGTCAATTAAGAAATTAGAAATAAGGCAAATTTCTGAAAACGACTCTGTGCTAGTAATTGGTCTTATAGTTCTTCCAAAATGTGGCTCAAATCAATAGACACAATCAAAGTACATTTCTGTAGAATTTTTCCATTCTAAGCTTATAAAAATGTGCCAAATTACTATAGCCAATAGCTAGCTTATGCTTTTTTTTCAATGATGTTCAAAAATCACCCCTATTTATAATTATATTTTCTGATGTGTAAGGCCACTCCAACTAAATTTTGTAGTTTCTCCTTGCCGCCTGCTCACCCACGCCGATATTTTAATTATTTGTTTAAACTATTAAAAATAATAATAGCATAAACATACAAATCTTTCGAGGTTCTTTTCACTCTTTTTGAACAAAGAATCAGGTATAGTCACTACTTTGTTGAAGCTTTATTATTATTTTAATCAAAATTTATAATCAAAATTAACTTACTGCCCGCCCACATCAGTCCCGCACATGTAAGGAGAAACTATGAATTTAATTGGAGTGGCCTAATGTATTAATGTTAAAATGAATAACCAACCAATAATCAAGTGCTTATATTTGTGTTGTGTACAAAATAAAATAGTACATGTATATTCACTTTTCAATTTTTGTGTAGGGGTTCTCAATAAAACAAGTGCTTATGAGAGTACAAGAGCTGTTTACTCTGTGAAAGCAATTTATAGACTGTCTGTAATATCAACAAATAGAGATGTCTCTATCATAGAGCTAACTGAGGAAATAAATTTCACTGAACATGTGAGACCAATTTGCTTACCAATGAAGAGTCATGACTCTCACCCTACTCCAGGTACTGATTACAGCTGACATACATAATTATTATTTTGTAATTTGAATAATTATGACTATGATCTCAACTTATCAATTTTTTAACTTCAGGCACTGAATGTATTGTTAGTGGATATGGCTGGACAAGTTCGTCTGGTCCATCTGCTAACATTCTTCGTCAAGGGACCGTTCAAATAGTTAGTTGGGATGAATGTAGGAATCACTTCACTTTCATATCAAGTGATACAATGTGTACCAGCTCAGGAGAAGAGGGTATAGGCTCTTGTCCAAATGATAGTGGGGGACCATTAGCATGTCGGAGGAACAATGGTCAGTGGGTAGTGTTTGGTATTGTCGGTGGTGGAAACTGTGCCATGACTAATGGATATAACTATTACAGCAATGTTTCAAGTAATCTTGCATGGATAAAGTTTCCAAGTAACTAAACTATTTTTTATTTTAATGATTTCATTTCAGCCTGTATCATTTAATCATATCATTATTCTGTCGTTTTAATTAAACTTTGAAATTAATGTTAAAATTTAATTCATGTAAATTTGCAATAATAGCAATTGTCTTGTCATGCCTAAGAGGGCTGTATCTGATAAGCATTAAAGGAGCAAAATTGTTGAGCAAATTATTCTGTATGGTGAGGACTTGTTATTTGTAAAAGCATGCAGAAGCATGTGTGTAAGGTCCACAAATTAATATGTATACACTATGCACATAATGCATCACCACATATACAAAAGTTAACACAGCTGACACACTGTACATGGCATGCTGCATAGCTATGAGTTTACAGTGCCCACCTATAGTGATATATAACATCATTACCTTATTATGATGAACAATAAACAATCTTAATTACATGCAATAAAGCATAATATTATTTTCCTTTTAGTGCATATAAAATTAATCATGCATGCATGGTTGTTGCTTGATTGTGAAAATAAAGACCTGCTTGAAGTGTCATAAATAAATTTTGTTCGAATACCTCATGTATGTAATGTCTTAGATCTAAAGCAATCTAATAGTATCAAGAAAAAGTTATAATAAGAATTGGATATTATCCACTTTTTCGTTGTCCACCAACCACCACTGATGTGTGTCAAACCCACTGAATGCTGCAATCTCACTTGTAGAAATTACACATGAGTTAAGTACACTTTTAACTTATTATTTATTGGTCTTCTAGTAGACTTTAATTCTTGTAGGCTGGAGCATTACTTACTTGTCAAAACCTGCGTTTATTTTTTGAGAGACATGACCAATGTGACATAGTTACTCACAATGGATAGTCAAAATTAAAGGCCAATATAGTTTTAGATGCACATGATGGGTAAAGGTCTGTCCCATCTCTCCTTTGATATGTTTTACTAGCGATGTCCAAAACAGTTTGTACCAGATTTAAATTATTTCTTGCTATAAAATTGGTATCTCTATCTTAGCTATGTAGCATTGTTGACTTGTGCCTCATTACAAGACTTTAATTAAATATATCTAATTCCATTGCTTACATTATTTAAGGTCAATTGTTCCATTATAGCCAAAGCGATTCTGTTTTTATTGCTTATACTTCTTCATTGTTTTTGTTTTGAAATGATGTGTAATAAATAGACTGTGTTTATACTTTCAGTGGATGATATAGTATGTGTGCTTATACTTCTTCATTGTTTTTGTTTTGAAATGATGTGTAATAAATAGACTGTGTTTATACTTTCAGTGGATGATATAGTATGTGTATAACAATGAAGTTGTTTACTTTATAGTCTACATGGGAACAGTTTTCTATAAAAATTTTCCCTCAGCATCTGAGTTGACATCACACCTTTCAGCTAATGATAACTTATAATTGGATCTATGATTGTCACTCTACTTCTTTTTGTTTTTTCATTGTCTCATGGAGGAGCTTTAAAAAGCAACAGCACTAGTGTTTACTATGTTAACAGTAAGCAGCATAGTTGCAGTGAAGAATGTCACCTACTCTCATATTATACAAAGAAAACTGACTGGTCTCCAAACACTACGCTAATATTTCTACCAGGAGAGCATGAGTTGAATGCTCATCTTATCATTGAGAAACTGGACACTGTCATACTGAAAGGACTAGGAAATGATCCACCAGTAATCAAATGTACTGAAGAATTTTTGATGCTAAAAATTAAGGATTGCAATGCAGTCAATATTGAAGGTATTGCTATTAATTGTAGCCTCTTATCTCTAGTTGACAACAATGCAACAATTGTTACAAATATCATTGCAAATCAATCCCATTATCGCAATGCAAAAATTTCCAGTGTATTTTCAAATGTTACAATCTCACATTCAAAGTTTATGTGTGATGAGAAATCAGCAAACAATTGTGTAGGCATTTATCATGACACTGGCTGGATAATACTGCAAAATGTAGATCTAGTTTCATCAGCAAAACATGGAATAGATGTGCTAAGTAGTGGATTTAATGGCGAAGTTAATCTGCATAACATCTTTGTTACTGGTAATAATTACAATGGTATTGTAATTACATTAAATCAACAAGGGAAAGTAAACTTGTATGATGTCTCAGCTATTGGTAATAAAAATGATGGCATTGAAATTATATTAAATCAAAATGGGATGCTAAATTTAACTGGAGTCAATGTTTCCTATAACACACAAAATGGGTTGTTGCTGGGGTGTCCCAACAACAGTCTTGTGTATCTTGAAAATATCACAGCTTGTCTGAGTGATATTGGAATTAAACTAAGTTATTCTGATAATAACTCTGTAAGCATTACTAATTCAAATTTGAAAAGAGTTCAAATTGGAATTGCAATTTTGCAAGGTAGTCATAATGAATTACATCTTGTTAATGTAACTACAAATACGACTGAAAATGGAGTACGTTTTTATTACCAATGGGCCTTCGATATCAATATAATACATCTTGCTGGAGTGATAATGGCAAATAGCTCTCAACCAGCACTACAGGCAATCTGTTATAGTTATTGTCAGTTAATACTGACCAATGTCACAATCACTAATAATTTGAATACTGGCATATTTGTTACTGGAAAATGGAACATTACTTTTGCAAATCATCCCTCTGTCATATCAAATAACAAATCTCCAGCAAATGGTGGTGGAATGTGGGTAGACAAAAATTCTAGGCTCACTGGTTGCACTGAAGTATATTTCATTAACAATACAGCACAAGGAATGGGTGGTGCTATTTTTGTAAATGAGGTTCGTTACTCCACATTTGTATACATTTATTCTACATTTAAAAATTTTACTCCAATATTTCAAAATAATTCAGCATTAGTGTCTGGAGATAACATTTACAATGGAATTTATCATGGCCGCATTGCGTCATCAGATGAATTTCCTAATAATGTGAACTGCAAAAATATTTCTTTTAGTAAATACGTAACATCTTCACCATTAGGTGTTTGTGTTTGTGGCAATGATTCAACTGTTAATTGTAACGATAGATCATTAGATGGTGTAATATATCCTGGTCAATTCATCACCTTATCACTGGTAACAGTGGGAGCATGTGGAGGAATAAGTCCTTCAGTGCTAGTCACCAGTGACACACAAAGCATTGAAGTAGTACATGCAGACATCAATCAAGAGACTCTAAAAAGTTGCAAAAATTTCACATACACCATCAACAAAAAAGGAAATATAGAAAATCAAGGGACTTTTCAAATTGGCATCAGAAAGTCTGCAGCAAATGTAGGATTGAAGAATGCCCACATTTCAGTTAGTATAAAATTTATGCAATGTCCTCTTGGTCTTCGTGTTGTGTCAGGATCATGTCAGTGTGATGATATCATTGGTGCTGTTAATGGGACACATTGTGATATCAATAGGAGTCCTCATCATATTAGCAGATCTGGTAATAACTGGTTGTTCTACAGTGAAGAGTATCATTGTGTAGTAGCACACACTAACTGTCCATTTGATTATTGTGATTCATCTACTGTGCAGCTCAGTCTCAATGAGTCTGATGTTCAGTGTACAAATGGTAGGTCAGGTATTTTATGTGGAAGGTGTCAGCCAGGGCTCAGTCTGATGCTTGGCTCCAACAAATGCCAGAACTGTAGCTATAGATACATATTACTAATGATTGCATTCATATTTGCTGGCATAGTTCTAGTTGTATTTCTAATAGTTAGTGACTTGACAGTGTCTTCAGGCTGTATCAATGGACTACTTTTCTATGCTAATATAGTGAAGTTGAATGAAGCTAACTTTTTTTCTAATGGTGCCAGTATACCAGTGTTGAGCCAGTTCATTGCTTGGCTCAATCTTGATCTTGGTATTCAAACTTGTTTCTTCAATGGGTTAAACAGTTACTGGAAGACATGGCTACAGTTTGTGTTTCCACTGTACATTTGGCTGCTAATTGGTATTGTCATTGCTGGCTGCCATTACTCAACAAGAATGGCCAGGCTATGTGGAAATAATGGAGTTCCGGTTCTAGCTACACTTATCTTCATGTCTTACACTAAGCTTCTACGTACCATTACTAACATTTTAATGCTTGCTGTCATCAATTGTAATCAAACAAATTGGGTTGTTTGGAGCATTGATGGTAACATTGGCTATCTCAATGGTAAACACATCCCACTGTTTTCGGTAGCATTGTTATTTTTTTTATTTGGATTATTGTATACTGGATTTGTATTCTCTGCTCAATGGCTACAGCGTTACAGTGGCAAGTGTTTTAAGAGTTCACATGATCCAGTAATTAAACTGAAGCCATTCATTGATGCTTATACTGGCCCATACCAGGACCAGTACAGGTACTGGACTGGGCTTTTACTGATAATACGTCTACTACTGACTACTGTATTCTCATACACAACAGGAACTATACCAGAAATCAACAACTACATCATTGCAGTAGTTGCAGCTATACTGCTTTATGAGTCCAGAAATGTGTACAGAGCAAACAAACTTAATATTCTTGAAGCATTTTACCTCATTAACTTAGGTGTGATGGCTCAATTGAATGCTGTATCTGTTGGCATGAACCTACACATTTCCAATATAGTCACATCAATATCAATCAGCCTCTCCATGATTCCTTTCATTGCCATTGTAACACTTCCTGTAATTACTAAAATTGCAGGGTATTTTCACACGAGATGTTCCTGTATCAAGAATGATATTGAAACAAGAGATGAGGAGGAGCGAGAGCCACTACTAATAAATCAGGAGGAATTGCACTCACCAGCAAGTGTTGTCATGAGAAGAGAATCAATCATATATGACTTCAATACATAAATGGATTAAAATGCCTGCTTTTGCCTATTGATATTTGATTTTGCCCCCTTATTGCCCTTCCCTTTAATACTATTAGTTGTAGAGTTGTAGCTAGGCTCTAGTGTATTATATATTTTGCTTTCATGCTCTTAATATTATGATGAAAATGTGAAAAAGCAGCAGTTCAGCTCTAGTGGCGATATAACATTAATTTTTTATGATAAGAGGCTTTTGGCAAACTAGATTTAGACAGTAGTTTGGATGACTTTAGGGGCAACTGCACTTAATGACAGAAAAAATAAATTGTTAGAAATATCTGGAATAGATTACTCCTAGCCACATTTATAATGGACTAGAATAGTGGATGTAATACCTTCTGAGAAAATTACAATTAATATCCACTTTTGATCAGAATCACTTTTTGCAAAATAAAAACAAGTAACTCTAATGTGTATCATCAATGGAGAATTTTCTCCTATAGCCGTTCTTAGCCAGAGACAATGTGCTCTTGTTGTAACTTAAGAAAATACACTGAGTTTTATGAACAAAACCGAACAACTGCACTGAGAAAAGTCAAAATGCAATTACTTAAATAATTATACACTTCCCTTACTGCACAGGAAATTGGATTTGTTCTATTGCATTTACAGGAAGCGACTTGCAAAAATTACACAGCATTATGACCTAAAAAACATTACATTAACATAACACAACAGTACCTTATGCATGAACTAATCGTATAGTTTCCAATGGTTTACCACAATTATAATAGTACATTGTTTTTGTCAAAATGCTTTCAAAGACTAGATATAGTGAATCATGCCTGTATGTTTGTAGTTGTCATCCTGCTATATAATGTATTAAAATAGATCTACATCCTTCCTGCAAGAAGGTCACACCTAAATCTTCTTGGTATAAAATGAAAAGTCAAGCTAGTCTACTATAGCCTTCAATACATTTACTGACTATGTCTCTTCAAGTTATTCTAGTTACAGGAATTTTTCTTGTCACAAAAATATCTCAGGGACAAACCTGCACTGTTGGATCAATACGTCTTGTTGATGGGAACAGTAGCCTTGAAGGACGTGTTGAGGTTTGCAGTGGTGGATCATGGGGTACTGTTTGTGATGACTTGTGGGGCATTAATGATGCAAGAGTTGTCTGTCGGCAGTTAGGCTATACTGCAGGTAATAATGTGAAGACACCGTTGTGCCAACTATAAACATTCATAATTATTATGATTCATGAATAATAACTTATTATGTCTTCTAGTCAGAAAAAGATCCCTTATCAATCACACAAATTGCTTACCGTAATTAGTTAGAAAACAGCACTTTTTCAATTATAATTTTTAAAGCAATAATTATTTTATATTCGTTTATCTAAACAGGACAACATTTTAAAAATGCTTACTTTGGAGAAGGAACAGGGGCAATTGTTATGGATAATGTCCGATGTACTGGGACTGAACAATCTCTCACTGACTGCTCTCATGATACTACTCATAATTGTGTGCACAATGAGGATGCTGGTGTGAGATGCAATGGTAAGTACTAGCTAGCTTTTTGTAATAATAATCGGCAATTCTAATGCATTTCTTCCTATATTTGTTATTGCCTTCAACAGAGTCATTGTTAGAAAGTGAGTTTCACAAAGTTGAAATGAAATTTCAGTTTAACAAACCAACAAATGTGTCTTCCAAATTTTTTAATAAAAACATTGGCTATACTTTCAATAAATGTTGTTTACAGTTGAATAGAGTTTTGTGTGGGAATAGTCTTAATATGGGCTCTGTATTAATATAACCAAAAAAGTAGTTTAATTACTGTTTGCCGCTATTTATTGAAACCTAAAATGAGCTGATTTCGTTCTGAGCAACTTTTTGTTGCTGAAATACTATTGCTATTCTCTTATACTTATTTTCTTATTCATAATTCACATTATTGCACTTAAACAATAATTCATTATTTTCCATATTATATGTAGCAACTAACATATCTAATGGAACACTTACTCTAGTACGCAATAATGTAGCATCAACAGCATACTACTATGGAATAGTGAGAGTGTATATTGGAAGCTGGGGTAACATATGTGATGATGACTATTATGATAATAATGCAGCTGATGTCATTTGTCATCAGTTGGGATACACTGGTGCTTCAAACTATTCTAGAGCTGGACTGACAAACTATGGAACTGATAGTAATAAAATGATAATAAATGATGTTAACTGTTCCAATAGCAACTATTTAACATTATTACAATGCTCTTTCTCCACAATAATTGATAGTGAGTGTTCTGACTTTTATGATGCTACCGTCTACTGCTGTAAGAAAATTATACCAATAAAAATGTAATTATTCTTATAATAGATACTAGTAGAATTTGGAATAGCCCATACACTGGTATGATACGTCTTCAAGGAGGAGCTTACTCTAATCAAGGACGTGTGGAAGTATATTGTAATGGACAGTGGGGAACAATATGTGATGATGGGTTCCATCCAATTGATGCTAGAACTGTCTGCAGGCAATTAGGATACAGCAATTATTCCAGATATGACCATTTGACTCTGTAAGCTGCCATTATACACTATGCTTTTAAGTCATTTCATCAAATCTATAGGCCTGGAAATTCTAGTCAACCAATATGGTCTTCTAATTTTTCAAGTAGCTTATCGAGTACCTGCTTTATTTCAGACAACTCTTGTCCCAGTTCCAGTATTACATCTTGCTCACATTCAGAAGATGTTACTGTGACTTGCTGTGAGTTCTAATTTTATTATACATTCATTTATGATACTCACATACAGCATATTCTGAATCATCAACTGTTGATGCTATGGTAGGACACTGTGAGACTAATGATACAGGCAATACAGGCCCTACAAGGAATACAAGTAGCACTACAAACAGTACTAGTACATGTAAGATAGGAAATATTATATATTAGGCTTTAATTATTCATGTAGCAATTGCTGGTGCTATTGGTGGTGTGTTTGGAGGAATTACAGCATTAGTTGTTCCAACAACAATTATTGTTGGTTTTGCTACTAAAGTCATCAAGAAAATAAAATCAAAAAAGTCTGGATCAAAAAATGCAGGCCCAGCTGGGGGAAACGTTGCAATGAATATATTTGGACCTGGTGGTATGCCAGCTATCGGCATTGAAGATACAGCACCAGTTATTGAATCAATAAAAACTTCAGCAACACCACAACAAATATCTTTCAATGAACCCTCTCACACTACTGTTAACATTTCTTATGGTTCTCAGAATCCATTAGCTGTACCAGTAATGCTAGAAACACCATCTTATGCTGTTTTATCTGAAACACCTCAGCTTGAAAAGAATTCAGTACTTTCACTATCTCTTGATGCCCATTCTGATGATGAAAGGTCTAAGACTCCAATAGACTCACATGAATATGAATCAGTTTCCATTAAAAATTCTCGTGATGAAGAGTCATCAAGTTCACCAACACCCAATGAAGCATCTCAACAACCAACAGAGAAAGAAGAACTAATTACTTCTGAAATATCCAAATTCCAAGAAAATAACATAAAAGAGTCATCGCAAAGTTTATCTGCTTCCAGTACATCAATATCCTCTTCGCATTGTTCGGCATTGATACAACAGTCAGAAATTGCTCTTTGTAATGATGATTCATCTATCCCTGAGCCTTCTTTTGAGCCACAAATTGATGAAATACACACTGACACTGAACCTCATTGCAAATCGAGTCCTTCCACATCAATTCCTCCCATTACTGAACCTGTACAGCCATCACAGGAGATTTCTCGACCTAATCCTTATCAAAATTATTCAGTTTATCCACATGCACATAATGCAGGCTATCTTGTTATTTTCACAGAAGGAAATCCACCGTACACTACTGGTGCAGGGCTTTACCTTCCATTGCCATAGCCTGTCAACTCATGATAAATATTATAGCTACTTTAAAACATGTAATAGTCTAATTTAGTATAGATCTTTCTTCATGCATAAATAGAATTTATCTACAGTCCTTCAGTGTTGTAAATTTTGTAGATCTAGGTTAGTTATTTTTGTTTTGATTTATAAAGATCTAGATGCAATAATATTATGTGACAGTGCATGACAAAAGGTAACATGTGGCACTTGAGTTAATAATGAATGGTTCCTATTGACAAACTATTGGATTAATACTAATGAATGATTTTCATATGCCTTGAGCACTGGTGGTCAAGGTTTTAAATGTTGTGAAAATGAATCCCTTATTATCAATGACATATTAGTGAGAATTTTAAGATACATCCAGTGCTTAACTACATCAATATAGATGTGGCTAAGATTAATTAATTTTGTATATTTATGAACTAGATCTACAGGACCAATTATTAAGCATTGAGTAAACAATATCCACTTATAATAATTAAAAATTTTTTAAGGAGAATTAAATTAAATAATGTTCATGATTAAGTGGTTGAGTGTGACATTTGCATGCATGAAAATGAATGCACTTTTATTGATGACAAGAGCTTCACTAACTAATAAAATTCTAGCCTCCAAGTCAGAGAAAAGTGAAACATTTTAAAAATTGCAACACTTTTTCAGATACAAAACATTTAAACTTAGCTCATCCACACACTGAGCACAGTGTGAATAACAAATTAATAATTATACATGTATTACCAGTACTGGATCCAGATGTCCATAGTGAAACTTTACAATCAATGTACTAGATAAATTTAGCAATCAGCTTTAAAATATTAAAGTAGCGTTAGTTGCAGCTCAAAAATAAAACAAAGTACATGTAGCATTAAAATTTTTTCAGTTATATGTGGGTAGTTCAGCAATCCTCAAATCAGTTGCTCCAAATGGTATTAAAGTAATTGGTGTGTCTTTGTTGTTGCTGGACACAGGAGAAGTAGGAGGAGCATCAGCAGCATTATGTAGCAGTCCCCAATCAACTAATCTTCCCTATAAAATACTAACATATAATACTAGAGTAGAGATCATTATTTTTTTTACTGTTGCAGTTATTTTTGAAGGAGCCCCTTTGATTGAAAATGGAGGAACACCACTCTGTAAACCAACATTTTGAAACTTTAGGTCCTCATCAGGATTACTATCATTAGTTAGATGAATGGCATAATTCCATGGAGAGCTGGTTGTTATCTTTCAAAATATGAAGACGTAACATCAGAGGTCATACTTGTTAAAATTACCTGATAATCTTTACTTTGAAATTCATAAGTTTTCAATACTTTGAAATCTTCTTCCAATTGTAATCCATACAACAGAGGTCTAAATTGAATATGAACAATGATTTATCCTGTTGTAATAATTACACTTTCTCAAAATAAAATAACAAATGACAATAGGCTTGTAAATAATCATTTCTATTACTAGATTACTCTAAAATAACAAAATGAGCAACATACATAATACAACAGATTGCCACATTATACAGATTTGTTATACCCTCTATAGATGGAAGCTGAATTATTGAAACGTCTTGTAACTCTAGTCTTGAATGGTATTGTCAACGTCATCTCAACAGCTACACTATTGCAGCTTGTTTGAAATAGTTTACCAGCTGGCACAGGGGTAGGTGGAACACTGCCCCAGCTCAATGTAGCACCTTCAGCCCAAGAAGGAACACGAATATTAACATTTTTCATTTCCTTAGAGCAAGACCCAGTAATTGTCACTAAAAATTTAAAATAATAAATCATCTGGTTGCCAAGGTTACTATTAATGTACGATGAAAATAATAGGGATTATTATTTAGGACACTGTACTAAAAATGATACATTTAAAGTTCAAAATGCCAAAGCAGCAGTCAATAGAACTAGTTAGATGACTAATTATAATACAAAAGTGTAAAAATATATAGAAATGAAAGGTATGAGAAAGCATTACTACCTGTGTCTCCAAATGGATAGTCAGTTTCAACAGTTAGTGTTGTTTCTCCCAATGTTACAGTTAGTGGAGCAAGAATAGCGAAAGTTATGGTGCTATTATCTGGGGATATCATCACTGCATTTTGTAGTAGCTTGGGCCAGCCTTGATTGAAGTTGGCTGTGCAACAACCATAATTAGGAGCAAGACCATAACTAAAAACGTAAAATAATTAATAATTTTCACGTTGTTTTGCAATCCTTACATAATTGAGTCAGGCCCATCATGAGTCCATATATGATCATCAAGATGCATTGCATTTATTTCGTTGTCTTGCTGGAGATACTGGTGTGCCCACATGTCAGATGTAATGGTGGCAGGCAATGCATTATAACCAATCTGCTCTGCTCTCTCTGCAAACAGTGGGTCACCATGTATGCCAAAGAGGACCTCATAGGAATACATAGCTTCAACTACTGTACACAACTCTGTACCTGCAATCAAAATAATATTATGTCAAAATACAGTCAAACCTCTCTAAAACGAACCCCCAGTTAGCGGACACCTCTCTATAACATGCAGTTGCTCTTGTCCCAGCCATAAGGCCATTGGGTAATATACCAAAGAGCCTCTCTATAACGCAACCTCTCTATTCTGTATAACGGACAACATTTTACTGTCCCTACACATCTACATGCGTACAAATTAACCTCCAACAGACAAACACGGCACACGCAACAGATGTTCTAATTAAAGTGCACCACAAAAAGGGCAGATTTTATGGTCTGATCAGCATGGGATAACCTCCGATTTAAGGACACCTCCATATAAAGGACAGTGATGGCTGGACCAGGTTTGACTGTAACCAATAAAAGATGGTAATTTCTCTAAAAATAGGCACTTTAATTTTAGGAATAATAGTACCAAAGTACTCATTAAAAAACTATTTTCCAGACAATTAAGTCAAATAAGCATGTACATGTAGCACCATGTAAGGATTCAAGGACACACAAGTTGGCCACTATTTAAGCCGCCACCTCACTGAGGATGAAGTTTTGGAGTTGTGGTAACACTATTATCTAGTTTACTTAAATGCTCATACAAAGTCATTAATATTTCAGTGTCATAATTATGCCGCACATTAATAAATATTAAGTCTGACCTCTAGATGGCATCAGTCCAGCCAAGTGTTCATCACAAGAAAATATACCAGAAGCTTGCCCATGGTATTTATCTAGTACTTCCATTCTCTGATATGATGAATCCCAATCTGACTGATTACCAGACTGACGATACCAGACTCCACCTGATTTAATTGCCTGCCCGTTATTAACCCCATGAGTAAATAGGGTAGCAGCTGCAACTGGTTCTTTTGGGAAATTAGGATCAGAGTAAAATCCTTTCCAATTAAAGCCCTAATTAGAAAATAAGCAATCAATGCCTTAGTGAGCTGAGCATAATAAATACTAGTATTATGCAGTATATTAATTTATATTTTATTATCTGTTACTGTTGCCTGTGTATAAAATACATGTAGTATAGACTATGTACTGTATGTTATAATTACAGTATTCATTTTAAGGATCTTCTAAATTATCTATTATAGGTTATTACTTATTAGTACCGTTTCGATGCACAAAAAATTTTCTGTATAACAAATTAGATACACATGCCTATAGTATTAATAATTCAATTCTATGATACCAAAAAAGATCTGCACTGTACAAAACTGTACATATTGTAATAGTAAATACATTAACTAACCTGTTGTTGCACCAATTCTGCCATGTCCCATAAAAACTGCTCCTCGCCATTAGGATGATTATCTAAAAGCCAATGTAATGTCAAAACTAAATCCTGCCACCTTGCACCAGACCTAACGCAAACACAACAAAAAAGTGAAAATAGAAAAGGGAATGGGAGGTACATCAGAGGCGTAGCGAGGGGGGCAAGGGGGGCAAATGCCCCTTTTTTAAATCAAAATTTAAAAATAATGAAATAATAAGCTGCTTTTGGAAGGAAAAGCTGTTCTACAACTTATACATGTATATGAAACAAAAAGGCCAAGGTAGTCTTTCTATGATGCCATTATAAAGCTGAAAAGGTATTCAATATTGCCTATGATCAGTCAAAAAGTCCGCCATATTAAAAAATAGGTGTGGTCAAGCTTGAAAAGGGCGTGGTTGCACAAAATGTCGTAGCACACTTTGCGAACCACACAGCTTGCCCCCTCTTTTCAAAAATCCTGGCTATGCCACTGTACATGTACATGTATACATGTAAGTTATGACATACCACGTTGTTCCAAAAGGTGTTGAGAACATTCTCTTATAAGCACAATGAAGAAACTTGTACATAACAGGAAACACAGTTTCATTCCCAGTAGCTTCATAATACATCCTCAATACAAACATCACATGATACTTGGACCAGTAGCTGTTACCATCCTTGCTGTCATCTTTTCCCAACCAACCGTCTTCACTTTGATGACTTATTATGTACATTATGTATCTCTCAGCCATTGATATCAGGTCAGGATCATTCAGCTGATAGGCTAATGGTACAAACCTGTGAGAGTATTATATATTGATAGTATGAACTATGAATTTTAATTTGCAACCACAATTTTCTCATAAGCTTTGGATTATGCTTGTCTTTTATACAATTTTTATTGTACATGTAAGTAAACAGCCAAGGTCAATTACAAAACCGCAATTACAATTACACATTCAATTACAAATACTCCTTTTGTAAAAATAGACTCAATTAGAATTACAATTATGCCATGTTGAAGAAAAAAATATTGTTTTCATGTGTTTTTGCATAAAACAGAAACATGACTTGCTTCTTCAACAGGCACTCCAGCTGTCAGTTTCCCACTAAGTGTGCTAAGTGTTAGAGTACAAGTAATTTTAAAATTCACAAAAATCCAATTTTTATTGGAATCAGCTCAAACTAAATATACAACATCAGAACGTGTATATGCATGAAAAAATATTATAAAAATAGAGAAATCTCTCATAGCCATTTTTCATGAAATTTGGCCCAAGATGGTATACAGAGTCTTTGGCCTGATACCGTACGGTTGGTAATATTCAAGGGTCCAAAATTTCGTGTTTTCTCCAAAATGTTCTTAGAAGCTAATATTCGTGGGTACAAATATTCATGGATGGCAGTTAGCAAACTTCTTTTCACTTGGATCTACAGCACTAGCTTCCAATACATGGCTTATAGTGGAATATGGAGTAATAGACAGAGACTTTGGCTCCTCCACTGGCTTGGAAATGGTAGTTAGAGCTCTGCATGGCCCGTTAATTAGTTTTTATGTGTGGGTGGGTAGGGGTTAAAATTTCGTGGATAAAAATTAACCACAAAATTAACGAAAATTAATACCCCACGAAATTTACCAACTGTACGGTATTTGAGCAACATTAAAAATTTATTAAAAAATCTAGCTTTAATCATAATCAGTTCAAACTACATGTAGATACATTAGAACATATACACATGTATGCATTAGAAAATATTATAAAAATGAAAAATTCTCTCCTAGCCATTACTTTGTTTGACAAAATACCATAAATAGGGTTTTCTACAAAACTCTACTAAACAAGCTAAACAGGATAACTCATGAGCTTGCAAGAAACTGAGTACTATACTGGGATACCCTGACTGTCATTTACAATTATAATAATGTACATGTAATTGTGATTGACCCCAGGTTTAATTGTCTGAATTTATGACACATATGTACATGTAGCTTAGGCTATACTAAGTCAGACACAAAATTTGTACCATAAATCACTAAAATGAATTACAGTAGTCACACTTAATGATATAATCATTGATTAATGCTAACCCATTCAGCCAATATGGTGCTCGCTCATGCAAGCCTACATCCGCTGTCCCACCAATCCATGAGGAGTTTTCTACATCAGGCCAAAAGAGAGGAAGATGACCAGACAGACCATTAGCTTGTATCTGAAGCTGCTGTTTAATCCAACCTATAAGTACAAGATATAGACCCCTAATTATGTACAATGCACAATAATAACTTAGCCAACCTCCGGGTTTAATTGTTCCAAGAGGTAGTGGGTAGAATTTCGGTGGTTTGAGACCAGCAGTTATAACACCAGATATCTAAATATTAGAAAAAATACATCCACTTAAATATTGTTCTCAAAATACTTACTCTACAAGGATCTAACTTCTGAGATGTCTTACTACTTTTAAGGTAACACTCTGGTGGCTGTGTACTATTACTACTACTGCAAAAAGGCTGAACAAATGCCCATGCCACACAACCAGTTGTTTTCTGGCAAAGCTCAGCACAAGCATGCACGTGGTTTTCATCAGAAGTATTGAGAGGAACAGGCATACCAGGAAAGTCACCTCCTGGCCTGTCTACACCAACATTGCCATCATTCCAATCACACTTAGCTATACCAATAAGCAACAGGAAATAAATTGCTAGAAATGACACTGGTTGCTTTCTCTTCATTGTTGACTGCTGAAATTGCATAAGATTTAGTGCATGACACATTTCATGAATGTAATTATTCCACCCAATGAATAATATTAGCAATAGCCAATAATGCATCATAAACAACACAGACAGATACACATACATGTACTTTGCAAGGATCCAAATGTTGTTGAGTTACGGCTCCTGAAGTAACACAGTGGTGGCTGAGAAGAATTTGTTTTACTATAAAATTCAGCATTGAAAGCCCATGATTTACAGTTAGCTTTCATTTGGCAGTGCTTAACACAAGCACAAGGTCTTCCTGTATTTAAAGTGATTGGTGAATCAAGGAAATCAGCTCCAGGCCTGTCTACACCAACATTGCCATCCTCCCACATCCTCCAAATGCTGTTAGCCACAACAGCGAGTAAAAGAAGAAATTGGACATAAATCTTCATTGTGGCAATTTGTACTATTGACTTGGCAATGAGCTAGCAGCACAGCAATTTTAAATTAAGAATAATATTTTTAATGGAGGCAAAAATTATTTGCACAAATTATGAAACTTAATTCAGGCACGTTTTGAACTTCAACACAAGTTACATACATGTATGTACCTCAGGCACTAACACAGCCTGAAAAACACGAAGACTTTGTAACACATTAAAGCATACCGAAACCATTACCTACGTGTACATGTAACTCACTGTGTCACTACTGATTGCAAACACTTAAAATTATGATATACAATGTGCCAAAAATTAATGATGGTGAAGTCATAAGAACAACAACATTGTCAATAGGAAAGTAATCAGTGATATGGTTCATAGAATTCTTTCTAGTGCTTCAATCAGAACAACACTGTTACCACGAACAACCTACGTGTAGCAAATAAACATAATATTAAAAATATACATGTACCTTAAGCACGATATTTTTTGTGTCTATTAATTTAAGCGATTTTTAACTAAATGCTTTTCAGTAACCATTAAACAATGAAGGATGTACATGTACATGTCAACATGGGTTGAGGTACATACTACATGTACATGTATAATGTGCATGTAGATTTTGTACAAACATTAAGTTTTCTCTACAGTACACATGCACACACACACAAACAAATTCATAAATCAGACTTACCACCATGCCAATATTAAACTTCTGATGGCTACTCCGCTCTTCAACACAATCATCTAGCACAACATTCATGTATGGATCAAACCCACGCAATATACCAGTTATAGTACGATTTCCATTAAGTCTTACTAAAAGAAAAATACATTATAAACTAACAAAGAATGAATTGGTAGAATTCACTATTTGCTATCAAGATCAGTGACAGCCTGTCCCAAAACACAAAACAAAATTTTATTGGCAATGATTTAGGAGAAAATAATACTACTACAAAGGTACAAATCGTCTTTGATTGTATCACAAAATTATGCTTTAAAACTTATGCACCATAAAGTATAACAAAAAAGACTTAAATGTTATCTAGTACAGTGGAACCTCTGATAATGGAACTTCTCTTTAACGAAAACCTCCTCAAATGAAAAAAATTAAATGTACAAACTCATTTTCCCAGTTTTTCAATGAAAATGGACCTCCCTTTAACGAAAACTCCTCTGTTACGAAATAACAAAAGCTTTTTTCTGACCAAGATGCCATTTTTCTTCCATTTAATGAAAAGTGGGCGTGGCCACACATGCGCACTAGTTCTGTGACGTCATATGATATGTTAATCAATTAAAAAGAAACCCACCCATTGTAAAAATGGCGTCTTTTCTTCTCCTCACATTATGCTCTGTCACTCTTATTTTGCCATCTTACTATCCAGGAGTACAGATAATTGCCTTTAATAGCTTTTCCCTTGTTTTGAAACATATTCTGCAAACTTATTTTCTTATTCTCCTTTTCTCTTCTGCAATTTGTTACCCAGCTTACTCTGCTGTCTACTGCCCCTCATTTTTTATAAGAAGGTAAAGTCTCACATTGGGGATGCCTCATTTACAAAACTTCCCCATAATGAAAACCTCTATGTAATAAAAAGATTCTTGTGTCCCAAAAGTTTCGTTATTCGGAGGTTCCACTGTACATGTATACACACATAAATCTAGCAATGCTTAGTGTTATAACTGACAAATAACACCAATTCCAATTTTAAGACCATTTGCTTACTATGCAATGGATTGAATTCGTTAAGGTTAAGTTTTATGCAGCAAATAAAATAACTGTCAGACATACATTTTCAAGTTGGCTTAATTCTCCTACCAAATTTTGTTCAGTAATTTCGTCTAAACAAGTATTGCTAAATACTTATTAAAAAGCCTTGAACTTTACAAACATAATAATCATGTTGGACCATTTCACAGAAATGGCAGATCTTAAGCTATGTTCAGACAGTGTCTGAAACTCTGAATCATTCAAAAATGTAATTTCAGGCTCTGTTAATGTCTATGTCCAAACTTACATGTACATGATGTATGTATCATCAATCATTATGAATGTCATGATTACTGTGGAGTGTTGATACAGCCTACTGTGGTCACTAAGACTTATAGCTTTATTTCTTCAAAACAACATGTACATGTACAACAGAATAAGAATCACAAATATTGGTCTTACCCAAGCGGAGATAAAATTCATTTTAAATTGAGTAAACCTTATTAAACCAGATTAAAAGAGGGTGTGGTTTCTGAGTGGGTTACACCCAAACACCCCACATATCTGCAGATGAGCAATTCATTCTAAATATCATCTGCAGGCTAGGTGGCATTCACAAAATCCCAGGTAAAATTAATTTTAACATAAATGTAACTTTACTTACACTGCAACCGTTTATCCATGTACCTACATTGACAAAAGTAATGATAATTGGTTTCAATAATAAAAAATAAATAAGAAGCTAACTTTTTGAGCTCTGGAGGGTGTGCTCTGCCGCTCATGTTTGTTGTGGAGCAACTTCAGCAATCAGAAACGGGCCAATAAATTAATTCAGCAAATTTACAATTCTGTAAAATACTACACGTGACTCAATGTATGCGCATGCGCAAAACAACAGTAGGAGGGAATTTGTTAAAATTCGGTTTGAGTTAATGAGTTTTCAACTTTTCATTTTTCAGACTCAGTAAACAACGAGGTAAACAACTATGAGTGTCTCTGTTAGGCCTGGTATAGAACATACCCATAAAGATTCTCGTAAGCCTTTTTCAGGTGAGATGCATCTTAATTTTGTATTTGTAATGCCCTTGTCAGAGATATATATCCTGCATTGTCCTGAATTAATGAACTGTCCTGTTATTAGTGTCAGTTCCAGCCCCAAGACTGCTATTATTGTTATATAAATTGGATTTAACTGCTTGTTAGTCAACAAAATGAAACCAAACCCCTCTAGTGATTGGGTAGGGCAAGGGTGTGGTTTTTGTGTTGCATAATCTCCCAGGCGAGGGTTCCGACATTAGCTGAAATTTGTATGGGATGTCTGGATTGCTGAATTTTAGTTGTATTGGTTATTGTATAGCTCCAGGTACTAGACACTGCCTAAAGTTCTTAAATTCCAAAACCTTGGGTTCTATTTGAGTGTAGACTGGATTAAAGAGCAAGTCGGACCCCTTGACTCTTTATTTGTGATACTCAGGGGCGTAGCAAGGGGGACCAATTCCCCCCCTTTTTTTTAAATCCAAATTAAAAAATAATGAAATAATAAGCTGCTTTTGGAAGGAAAAGCTGTTCTACAACTTACATTATGAAAGGAAAAGGCCAAAGCAGTCTTTCTATGATGCCATTATAAAGCTGAAAAGTATTCAGCATTGCCTATAATCAGTCAAGAAGTCCGCCATGTTGAAAAATAGTTGTGATCACATCCTAAATGGGCGTAGTCTCCCAAAATTTCGCAGTGTGCTTCGCACGCTACACAGCTTGCCCCTCTTTTCCAAAAATCTTTGCTATACCACTGGTGATACATGTGCAGTGCATTCTCTGTGTGGGATACCTTCAACTTTCTTAGTCCTCCCTTTATTTACTACCCCTGTCTCTGTAGTTGTAAGTGTTATAAATATGCATGTAGTATTATAGTAATAGCATGATTTAACTTTAACGTAGCTACACTACCAATGTACATCATGTACATGCACAGAGACACTTTCTTTTTTTTCTCTTCACTAGACTCCTTTACATAATGTTGTACCTTAAGCCTACTATTTTTAGCATCTACTAAATTTAGCTATATTAGCGAGAGAGCTTTAAACCGCTAAATTAAATCGATGCCAAAATAATTATTATTCATTATAATAGTTATTATTTATAGTTAATTTGGTTAGAAATGCTAAACATGACTTTTGCTGATTTCGCTAAAATTAGTAGATGCAAATAATAGTAGGCTTAAGGTAATTGTAACCTTTTTTTACTCAACCTTTAATTTTAGCGTTTTTTAGTGAGTGTACTTAAAATTACTAATTTAACCAGCCGCTGATAATAGTTATTATGTACTTGTGTAAACATGTACACAAGATAGGCAAGATCTGTAACAGGATAACAGTAGATAAGGGTGATCTTATTAAGTGTTTTGCTCTTAAATGTATAAATTGGGCTTCTTGAGTAGTGTTATGCTTTCAAATGGGAGTTTCACTATTGATTTCCTTCCTATTTTCACTACTATTTCATTTCGCTAAATCAGGGTCCTGTTGAAAACGCTAAAATTTAAGAGCACAAGTAATACCCACCCTAAGGTAATACCATAATGATATGGATTGTAAAAGCAAATGCAAAGGCATTTAAATTTATGTATTGTAATACATGCACAACATGTGATTGGATTTTGTATATTGCATGGTATGAAGCTTACCATATAATTTACAAAATGTATATTGCCTATACTGCTACATGTTGTATCAGAGAAATAACAATTAAGAAGCCTTAGCAAGTTAGCAAACAGCCTGCTCATGCTCCTTATGTCAGTTGTATTTTAAACAAAAGTAGCAAGAACATTAGAAGGTATAGAGAGAACTCTATATGAATCTGCTATGCACGGAAGGTCTTACACTGATACGCTTACATGAATAATTTTTTGAGCATGTTGATTAGTATGTGGTTGTTGGACTCACCACGCTTGCGAGGTGGGTACTAAGTAGTTGGGTTGTCATTCTGCCCACACATTTTAATTGATTTGTAAAAATCTATCTTTTTGTCTGAGCTATATTTCTTCTTCTAGCAACAGATAAAGTTGCTTTCTTTCATCTAGTTATGCTCTTGTAGCATCTCGTAGCACCAAAAGCTGTGAACTGCTAAACCAGGGGACCTCTCTCCAAGTGAGAGCTCGTGTTTCACTCTACAGAGCTGAGATTTGCTTCAGAGGTAGAAAATTCCCATCTAACAAAAAACTAAAAGAATGATTTTGCCCTAACGTTGTTGTTTGTCACAGTTTGTGAGTTACAGTTGCTCAAAGTTTGTGATTTAGCCTCTTTGAAAATTTTTCAGACGTCACTAGGGAAATCAGGAGCAACCGAACTCTCTCAGTGTCTTTTAATTATCTAGGAAATTTTTTTGTGCCAACTCTTTCTTTGAATAGAACTTCAGATGCTAAAATAAATTTCAGCTTTTCTTCTTTCTCCTATTCATGTGCCATGATTTAGCTAGTTCTTGACCACACCCATAGCTTATTTTAATTATCATTATAACTATTCAGTCAATAATAGTTAATTTTTTCAAATTGCTTAAAATATCACAGTACAAGTAACACATATCACTCAGGTGAATTCCAGTGGGCGAGTCCATTGCACCATAGTGCTTCATTATTGATGCATGTACATTGTAGTTGGTAGGTTATAGGAATAATGGCAGACACCGTAATATTTTATGGGTAAATCATTATATTATCATAGCTAAAATTCTTATCATGAAGCATGATGATATGTATCCCCCAAGGTTTCAAAATTCCTCTACAGGTTGAAATTTATTTATATTATGTGTACTTTTGCAGAAAATGTGTCTGTCAGTGTCACAAATAAAAAGCAAGTGATGTCTGTTGAAGCGAAGAGACAGCCGTTAGGAAATCTAAGCAATGAAGTTGATAGAAATGGGTCAAGTCAGAAGAAGAGTACCTTACCATCTAAAATATCTACTGAGAAGAAGGCAGCGGCAATTGCGAAGGATGATTTACCAGAGATAGAATACATGCCTCCTCCTCATACAGAGGACGGTAAGTATAATATGATTTTAAAAGGGATACATGTGTACATGTGGGTGTTACTGTGTTAGTATTATTTTTTGTCTACTGCAATGTACATGTACATGTACAAGTACATGTAGAGCAAAGGCCTACTGTAGTATAGTGTTCCTGGTACTAGTCTATTTAATTTATGTTGGGTAGAAACTGTGGAATATTAGTGCACTTTGGGCACAATAATTTTATAGTAACACCATGATTTTCCAGGGCCTTGGCTTACGTTATGTTTTGTGCAGTCTTTAACCTGTACATGTACAGTATACATGTAGCTACATAATACATATTTTATTACCTGATTTTTTTTACTGAAGATGATACTGATTTTGAAGAGCCGGAGTATTTGAAGAATATTGATAAATTGTTTTTGGGAAAAATTGTTCATCAAACACTATCAAAGTCTAATGTTGAAAAGTTAACTTTTGAGAAATCTCGTAGATCAAAACAGACCGCTGGTAAGGACACTTATTATTTATTTGACATTAAAATTTTCTTTTCTTAAGGTTGGTTTTGTTTGCCTGATATTGGTGACATTGAAGACTTCACAACTGATGAAACTGAAGATTTATTATTTATCGATTAAATTAAATCTGTTGATGTACACAACTTCACACTATTCTATACTAAAATTATGCACTGTTACAAAGCATAATTTTAGTGAGCCTCTGTATTATTCACATGATAAGTCACTTAAATATATCAATAATAATTGATTTAATGATTTTTAGTTCATCACAGTTATCATTTATTTAAATATCACTGTCTTGAGTGTTATGTGGCAGATGATTAACTATTCTGTAGAGCAAAGGCAATAATAATAAAAAAATTAATAGTGGAACATTGGTGCACTAATTAAACATTGTGGATAGAATTATTTTAACTGCACATGAAGACAACCTCTTGCATTATTTTTTATGTGTGAAGTCATGTCTGCATCCCTGTGGGAAAAGCTTGTATGAGAATTTGTAGAAATGTCTGAATTTGTGATTTAGAGACAGGAAACAACTATGAGTGGACGACTTGGTACCCATAAAGATTCTCATAGGCCTTTTTCAGGTGAGATGCATCTCAATTTTGTATTTGTAATACCCTTGTCAGAGATATTATGTCGTGCATTGCCCTGAATTAATGAACTGTCCTGTTATTAGTCTCTGTTCCAACCCCAAAACCCCTATTATTGTTATAATTTGTCTAAATAAATGGAATTGAATCAACAAAGTGAAAATGACTTTGAAACCAAACCTCTCCGGCAAATGGGATGGAACGGTAAAAGGCTAGGCCTAGCAAGTGGTTTTTGTGTTGTATAATTTTCCAGGCAGGGTTCTTACATTGGCTGAAATTTGTATGGGATGCCTGGATTTCTAAATTTCAGTTGTATTTTATGTTATATAACTCCAGGTACTAGGCACTGCATGCCTAAAATTCGTAGATTCCAAACCTTGGGTTCTATTTGAGTGTACTGGATTTCAGAGCAAGTCAGACCCCCTGACCCTTTATTTGTGTTACATGTACAGTGCATTCTCTGTGTGGACACCTTCAACTTTCTTAGTGCTCCCTTTATTTACTACGCCTGTCTTTGTAATTGTAAGTGCTATAATAATGAGGGTATACAATGTAGTAACATTGAATATAGCTACACTGCCCATGTACATACATGCACAGATGCACTTTCTACTTTTTTTATCTCCACTAAACTCTATTACTTAGGCTACTTTTACACAGCAACAAAAACGATGAGTTGGTATAGTTTTGTGCCTGTGTTCTAACAAATAAGAACGTGATAGAATCTTGATAGAACTCAATAGAAATAAAAATGGTGTTCTAAGTGTATCATTTTAAAAACGATGCATTTTTGCTGTGTATAAGCCCAGCCTCAATTTTGTAATTGTAATCTTTTTTGTTCTCTCATTACAGTAATGTATGTATATGTACATGCATGTGTATAATACCATTATGACATGGATCGTTAAAAGGAAATACTACAGCATTAAAATAGAAGCTTATTAGTGTAAATATAATTGCCTATAAAACTTATATTTGAGATTTTAAGCACTATCAATAATTGCTGAGGATGATTTACCAGAGATGGGAAGATGCTTATGCCCTTCTCCAGATTATTGTAAGCCTTAGTGTACATGTAGTATGATTTAAAAGGGATAGCATGTAGCATTACATGTGGGATTGTTGGTGTTAATTATTTTTGTTATACATGCACATGTAGAATAATGGCCTGTTGTGAGCCTGGTACTAGTCTGTTTATTACATAGTTCATTTATGTGCGGTGGAAAATTTGCAAAATTAGTCACAATCATTGTACAGTAATACACTGTACCTTAATTTCCTTGATTTAATGTTTTGTAAGGTATTCAAATTGTAGATGTACAAAATGCATGCAGTACATGTCAATAATGTTCTACCTTTTAAATTGAAGATAATGATCCTCTTGATTGTGATATACATTTTTCTGAGTGTTTGGAAATAATTACCTATAAACTTGAACCACTACCGCTACTATGGGATCCAAATGTTGAAGAGTTCACTTTTGGGAATGTATAACATCAAAGATGGATGGTAAGGACACACTAATATTTATGTGATAAAAGTTCCCATTGTTTAAGGTTGCACTGATTTGCCTGAGTTGCCTGATATTTGTGATGATTTTGTGCTGATGCCTATGCATCTGGACTTTTTTGACTTTAGTAATAAATTAAATGTAATAAATAATAATAATTGTTCATAATTCATGATATCTTGACACTGTAATGATACAAGTACTTAGAATAATCATGGTCTGATACCATATAGCGGGAAGTTTTGGAGGAAGCAAAATTTTGGTGATTGTCGAATTTTAATTTGGCAAATTTTTGGCCACGTGCCATTGAGCATGCGCATAATGGCTCAAAATAGTTGAATTTTATTTTGGCGAAGGGCTGTCAAAATGCCAATTTGCCAAATTAAATTCACTCTAAAGTTTCCCATTGTACAGTACTTATATGTTTATCATTTCTGTTCATTATTCATTCATTGATAATAATAATAACAACAATAATAATAATAATTTTGTATATTATTTGTACAGTAATGAGACTTTAATTGCCTGATGATCAATGATTTAAATTTTTGGAATTAATTAAAAGATGGTCTCAACTCCAATTACTACAAGATAGCCCTATAGTCATGTCACAGTAGCCCTTTGCAATGGAAACATAAATAGATGTAGTAGGAGAGAGTATAAGATTAGTAAGATACAATTTATTTATTATATTTATTATATTTAAAAATTTTTTTGCCAATTAAAGAAGCAAATAAAATATATACAGACAACAGGTGTACAATGTCTTTATTATGATGTATACCTTTAATTTGACTACAATTGTACAAAGAAACATAAAAAGGGATAGAATCAACCGTACTTGAATGCAAGACTTATTGATGGTGTGAATCCTAAATTTGAAAAAGACAGAGACACTAAAGAGATAGAGAAAGAAAGATGAAGATGCACACAGCAGCATGATATAGCTATGAAATTGTACTGGTAATTGAATTAGTAACTATATTCCTATTTTGTGCACAATGGTAATGGTAAATACCATTCAATAAATCAGTGACATAGACCTGTGACATACATTTTTGGTATATGTGCTACATATAAACATTACACTATAAACATGCATGGTGCATATGCAAATGTGTAATACCATTTTGTAGATTTTCTAAAGGTGATACAGATAATTTAAAGCAAATATAAAGGAATTAAAATAGACAGCTTATTTAAATAATTATTAGCAAAATTAGATAAGGAATACATGGCATACTCTTAATCATTGCTTAAAATTAATTGTGTACAAGTTTTAGCCTAGAAACTTGGCATTTGCTTACATGTACATGTACCTGCATGTATTTTGCTTATTTGTGGCGTAAGCTAGCATGTGCACAATTTTGTAATGGTATAGTAAGCAGGTACCCAAAAGGTGTTCCATTTCTGATATTGATGCATTTTATGATTTTCATTCCTATTTTTAAGTTCGTTTCTGGACTTTACAGTATAAATTGCGAGATTATCTAGTCATGCACTGACAGTTATCTCACTAAATTAAGCAAAACTCTTACTATAAAGTTGACATGCTGATTTTTGTAGTAAGAGCTGAAAGGTATGAAGAGCAATTCAAAACTGACTGTTTGAGTACTGTGTAGTTTATTAAGGCAATACTAGCTGCTTTGAATTTTAAAAAGGACACAAATACAATTAGTTGAAATTAAATCAAATTAAATGAAGGTAAACTAAACCAAAAAATAATTTTTGAAACTTTAAACTTGTTGCAAACTAAAATAACTCCATAAAAATAATAGTTACTACATTAATATAAATTGTATAATCAAAAGCATGGTATGCACACATTATTTTTTAAATTTTTGATACCACTCGCCCAGTTAGTCGGCTGAAGATTCCAGTAAAGGTTCACGCAAATTAGGAATCACAGTAGTTGTTACAATAGTCTTAGGAAGTGATTCAGATGCAATGTCCTCTAACTGCACTGGCTTGTTCTTTCTCATATTTCTCTTTATTTTTGTCCAAGGGACACAAATATACACATGATAGACCATTATAGCTAAGAAACTAATCAAACTCAGTGACAGTGTAGCACCAATACCTACTCTTGCAATCTGTCTCGAAATATAAAATATTCTGCTATTGTCTCCATTATTTTGAGCCAAGGACCCATGAATGACATAGCAAATGATTAAAAGATAGACAAGATATGATATATCAAGACTCTGAATTTTTTTATTTTTGTACACCGAAACATAGCTCATTGTTATTATAAGAACTGCTGTTAGTGCCACTAGAACCCCCAAAGTAACTTCACTCACTGGATCCAATGCTACAACTGTAGATAGCATAATTACAATCCTAGCAAGTAAAAGCAAACCAGGCCAGATACGAAACAGGTCAGTATGTGGACCTGCATAAGCATCAAAAAATGGCTTTAATTTAAGGTACAGACTTGTGCAAATGCTCCATTTAGAACGACAAAGTTCCCATAAAGGAAAGAACAATAGGAACAATGTATATGGAACAAGTAGTACTACCAGTACTATAAATGCAATGATAAAAAGAACCAAATGGCAGCCAGACAAGTATGGCTCAGCATTGTTAAACCAAACAGCACCAATTGATCTACATGTTGAAACTGGATTGACTAATATGAAAATTGAAATGAGTGTACGAAGGATTTTAGTGTACGAGAGAAGTAAAAGAGTACATAAAACAGGAACTGCATTGTTACCAATCAACTGTGAAAGCTTTGATGATCTTCGACTCAGCATAATGATTAAAAATATTAAGAACCAAAGGTAAAATGGAAAAACAAATTGTAGGCCAGTTTTAGCGCAGGTATTCATTCCAGCATAAAAGCAAGTCTCAATCCCCAAATCCAAATTAATCCAAGAAATGAACTGGCTCAACACAGGAATATAATCAAGACCAAAAAACAATGGCTGGTATATCTTAACAACATTAGCGAAAAACAGTAGTCCATTGATAGTACCAACAGTGACTGTTAAATTAAGAGCAATTAGTAGAACAACAAGTGCCATACCAGCCAACAAGAATGGAATGAGAAGTGCAAGATAGTCATTAGTACAGTCTCCACATTTATTAGTGCCTAACATAAGACTTAGACCTTCTTTACATTTTCCACACAATAGACCAGATCTATTTAGAGCACACTGCCTATCAGGATCACTCAATGGAAAAGTTATTGATGAATGTATGCAATAATCATATGGACATTCATCATTTATAGCTGTACAATTTTCATATACCCCCAACCAACTTCTTCCTTCCTTTGTCACAGTAGCTGTGACACCATTGCAATTGGTAGTAACAGGTTTGATATTATTATCACATACACAAACCTGTGACTGTTGTGATAGGTAGGTGCCAGGTAAGCAAGGGTTGACATTAACATTGATAGTAAGTGGTGGTTGAAAAAAGTTAGTCTCAAAATCAGTTAGTCTCACATGTATTGTTACTTTATCAGGATCATTAGCCTCAACTATGACCTCTTGAGTGAGATTAGTGCACACAGCTGATGATATGTTGTGATTAGATGGTGCACCAATTGAAACACTAACAGTGCCAGTCGTTGTATTATCATGCTGTCCCACTACAGCAACAATGAAAGGAACACTTTCTCCTGGTGTAGCTGACACTGTCAAACTTTTGAGATTGCAATTAGGAGTAGTATATTCACAAAAACACACTTTTCGTGGATCTGATGATATAATAGAAAGCCCTGTTTGATTCACGAATTTACTTATGTTAGTAAACTGATGTTCACTTGCTCTATATATGCCTTGTATGCAATAGCTCATTGCTCCTCCATAAAGGACTGAGCCAGCAACATCAGCAGTGTTGTTCTCAAAATAAAAATACTTATGTGTGTCATCATTGTTCTGTAACTGATAAAAGCAACGATTAGTTACTTGCTCGTTGCTAGAGACAACTCTCAAAACAATCTGTTGTACATTTATTGCTCCTCCACTATTATTAGCATGATTATCACTAAATCTTAGCATTGAGCCATGAGTAAGAAACAGGAAAGATGATGAAATCATAAAAATTCCACCGCCGTTATAAGCAGAGTTATTATGAAAAATGTTGATCCCATAAAAAGTAATGTAGGTATCAATGATTCCAAGACCACTGCCTTCATTGTTACTAATAGTGCAGTTGCTAATGACCACATCGGTGCTACCAAAAATTCCAATAGTTACAATAAAAGAAGATGCTACACCTAAGGTTTCATAAAAAGCTTCACTGATAGTGTTTCTATCGAACGTGACATTATGTACTATTATATCAAACTGTTCATTGGCAAATGGATCTGTGTTAACCAGTAGTGCACTGCCATAGAGCCCCGAATTATGACTTAACGTTGAAGAATTAAGATGAAGTGAACCAGAAAAAGAACTGAACCATGCTATGTTTATTCCAACTAATTGATTATATGACACAAAACAGTTTGTCATGTGTATAGATGGACTATATCTGTATTCATTTTCAGTGAGAGTATTATGAGTTAGTACTAACCCATTTAGACTGCCAGTAGTTTTTAGACCAGTAACAAACAAATCATAGAGATTGGTAACACTTCTTACAAAAACGTTAGCTACTGAGTTATTGGCAGTGTAAAGATAGTTCAAATGAATGCTAGTGTTGTAATTATTTTGAAGAGGATTAACAATTAGCCCAATGAAACGATTATTTGTAATGTTTGTATGATTCATTAAAAAAATTGCATGAATACTTCTTGGTGTAATTATCGATGAAAAAATAACAGTCACAGTAGATGATTCATTGTCAGTACTATTGAGATTGTTGAGATAGAAGGAAGAATGGATAATCTGACAATTGCTCACACTAATTGCTGCTGCTCCTCCAGGGCTGTCTTGTATTGACAAGTATTTTATTGTAACATTCACTGAATTTGTTATAGAAATTGCACTTGAAGTAAAATAATCAACAATGGAATTAAATTCTCTTCCACAGCTTTTAAATGTTAAATTTCCCATTTGTATATTGTCACAAGTTCCAAACTCGATAGTCACATCTTCAGCGCATTGTATCACTACTGGTGATTCAAGTACAGTTTCATGTGGTCCTTCTTTCATTTCTCCTATTCCCTGGAATGATATATTTAATCTACTTGAAATAACGATACTGCTGTTTAAAAAGTGTGTACCAGGGAGAAAATAAAAAACCAGTGCTAATGCATGGTTCTGGTTCAGTAGAACTGATATACTCATCAATAGTGAGGCAAGGGGCATCTTTAGGACACTGAGAAGAGTTACCATTTGGATAAAAATACAATACATCTTGTCCAAACAGAAGAGGATACTGGGTGGCGACAAACAAAAGAAATAAAGGCAACCTAGACATAGCCTAGCTCTCTCTGATGGGATTGTTTTGATAGGACTATGTAATGATGCAATTCACACATTCAGTCTAGTGGGTGCATGATGTAAGGTGAGATTAATTATTAGATCTTACATTGATTGCAGTAATTTTTATGCTACATGATAGTATTGTATGTAGTGACATTCTGAATATGCAAAACTTATTTTTATGATGGCCCATCATAAAAATAAGTTTTGCACTGATGCATTCAGGATGTCACTGCTTCCTCACTCTCATAGATCTACCTTTGCGGCAAAGGTAGATCTGTCATTGATAAATCTAATGGACTGAATCACTGTCTATGTTATAGCTAAAATTGTTATAATGAAAGTGCCAGGGTAGATGTGCCAGGGCTATAGTAGGTAGAGCTAAATAGTGTGTGGGCGGTTGACTAATTGACTTACCCACTTAGGCAGTTGTTTAATTTTCTCACCTCGTTTCTCACTCAGTCTCTAGAGTCGAGGATGGAGTTAAAAGAAAGAGATACAGGTAATACCAAGTCGAGGATGGAGTTAAAAGAAAGAGATATAGGTATTACCAATTGTACTAATGTGACTGGATTCATATACTTCCTCATAATAGAAGTGAAAATTTCCTCGCAAGTTCTTCAGAAAGCCTTGCTAGTAAAGAGCAATTACTGCTGGCCATGTGATCAACCCGCAGTTGTGTTTCCATGGTGCCATCTTGTGCCAGAAGGTGACCCTCCTCCACATTCTACCCCCTACATGCAAATGCATGAATCTAGAGGTGAAGGAATCGATGCAATATGTAGCAAGTACAATGGAAAAGCTGATCTTCAAGTTGTTTTAGTGATTTCTGGAGAGTCTGAAAGCTGTCAAAAAATTCTGTCAGCTGGTCACTTAAAAGATGATTTATCATCATTTCTTGTTATTGTTTCAAGCAAATATAAGAGAGAAATTTTAAAATTTTTTGATAAAGCAAGAGACAATAAAGCTACAGTAACAATATTCTTTAATAAAAGATACGAATGTAAGTGTCTTATGACTTATGTAATAGCTGTATTTGTGTGCAAAAAAATTTATCTATTTTAATTATTTAGTTGCTCGAGCTTTTTTTCCTAAAATTCCAGAAAGTCATGAACAGTTATTTAAGGCAGCACAGTATGTGATAGAGAATAAACTCATTGTCTCTTTCTCACCATATTTGGACATCAGTAAACTTATGGATAAATCAAGTACAAAGAACATGCCTGCACAAAGCATTGAGTCCAATAATCCAAGAGAAAGACTACTTTCATTCTTTTTAAATACTATATTTTATCAGCATATGGAGGTATGTCTTGTTTTAATTATTTAGTCATATGAAACAAGGAGCAAATTCAATATAAATTTTATAATAGAGATTTTATACATTACATACATACATGTATGATTAGTGTTTTGAAGAAAAAAAGATGTGTTGATCATCTTGTGAGACTTTATTTGTATTTTAGTATAAACCATAGTAATTATTTTAGTAGTAGTAGTAGTATAGTCACTGATAATATTCTTATCTAGAAATTTTACTCTTCTCATGCATGAGATAACTTCATGATCAATAGCATTTACATATACTACTTTTGTACCATTATACATTGTACATATACAAACCTTCCTAAATTATTAAACAGCTATAGCTTATAGCCCAGAAGTACATGCCATACTAATGCCATACTTGAATTATGCAAACTTCAACCTTTAAAAAAGAGTCTGTAGGAGAGAAAATTGATATTATTATTTTTTTATAGGCATATATTGAGTTAACATCATCTTTTAATGCAGTAGAGGTTGTTCGTCTCTTTCAAAATTCTCTTCACTTTAAGTCAACCTTTTCCCAAGATTTTATATTTTATTTCTGTCTAGCTTACATGATTTATAAGTAAGTTCCGAGCATGCATGCCTTTTACTTCTAAATTTTAGTGTTAAATGTTACATGCATGTCTTAATTATTATGAACTCTGTATTTACAGAAATGGAACAGGATTTGATTTTAGCAATAAGGCCATTATTGTAACAATAGAATTTATACAGTGTTTGTTGCAAGTACCTGTTGTTAGTGTTAATGAACAATTGCAAAAATTTGTGAAACAGTAAGTTTTATCAATCAATGAATAGTTATTATTATTGTATAATAGTGATGATTTTGAAGCAACTATTGCTAAAATAAATAGCATCTTTGAATATGCTGCTGATTCAATATTACACAGTTGTGACATTTATTTTGAAACTGTTAAGGGTTCAGAGCTAATTCATGTTTCCTTACTATTAAGTGAGTAACTACTTATATGTGTACTACATTCATAGTATTTATTGATGCTGAATACCGGTATATCATTTGCCACTAAGTAGTAAATTTTGTAGCAAGTCACATTATAATTTTAGTTTTGCCATTATCGCAGGGCACTCTTTTTTGGGGGCTATAAATTTTGAGTTCCCTTTTTTTAGTGAAAGTAAATTCCACAAATCATGATCCTTAACATCCTTGTTAGCTGATATGCAATTGCTTTTAGTTTGAGGTACATGATGTGACAGAAGACCAGCAGGGTTTTGAAAAAGCCAAAGAATGTCAACTCTACAGTCCAAAAACGCCATCTTTACATGTGTACTTAATAAGTGCCCATATGTAACATGTCAACACACATCTTGCAATTATAATCTATTATTTAACGTCACAGTATTTACCAAAAGAAACTTACATAGCAATATACATTACAAATTGGAAGTGCCTGTATAACATATTATAGCATAAACCAAGAGTCTCTTGGTATAAGTAGTAACCATGCTTCCCACAAAGCTTGCTAAACAGCATGCTTCATGAACTGAGAATGAAGCTACAATACAGCACATGGCATTTGAAGTAACTTTTAAAATTTATAAAAAGTCCAGGATTCAGCTGAAAGTTAATACACAACATAAGGACATGTACCAATATGTATCAGAAAAACTATAGAAATGAGGAATTCTTTTCTAGTCATTTTGATGAAATTTTGCTAAAGACCAAGCTATAGGCTATAATATAAGCCTGTAGTTGTTGGCCTAATTTATGGGCAACTTACAAATTCATTAAAAATTAAAATTTGATATGAATTAGCTCAAAGTTGATGGAACATGTACCGTATGGAAGGAAATTTTGGAGGTAGTTAAATTTGGTGAATTTGGCATTTTGATAGCCATTCGCCAAAATAAAAATTCGCCATTTTGAGCCATTATGCGCATGCTCAATGGCACGTGGCCACAATTTCGCCAAATTAAAGTTCGCCAATCACCAAAATTTTAGCAATTCGCCAAAATTTAGTCCCTCCAAATTTCCTTCTGTACGGTATGTGTAGTGTACCAGAAAAAAATTATAAAAATGGAAAATTCTCTTCCAGCCATTTTTGAATAAATTTGGTCAACATAATTTTGGCCTGATTTTTGAGCAACTTTAAAATTTATAAAAAGTACAACTTTAATGGGAATCACCTCAAAGTTGCTGGAACATGTTCATGTATCAGAAAAATTATAAAAGAGGAGAATCCTTTCCTTATAATTTTTTCAAAATTCCCTGAGTAACATATAAAGTGACATCAGTCTCTTCTTGTAAAATGGATATTGTTAGCTGCTTTTAGTCATTTACAAGTGTACAAATTGACCTCAAGTATAATGATTATGACCAATACAATGATTATGACTTGGTTAGCATGAGGTGTAGCCAGACAAATGTCTAATTCTTTTATTTAAGTGACAGTAAAAGCAGTCTTTGTGTCCTTAGATAATATTATATGCATATTTTTAGCATTAGTGCAGATGTTTTTTTGAGGTGGGTGATAAATTAAGCAAATAGAGTGTATGTAATATTTGATTAGAGTTATCATGATTTTTTACATTTGATTTAGTATCTATTGCACTCAAGTTATTGTACACTAATGAAAAATTAGCAAAGAAAGCTGAGAATATCTGGACTAAAAAGTTTAAAAAAGTATGATTTGAATTTTTTGATCATTTTTAATTTATTTATTATACAGTATTTTAGTTCTGGCTTATCCATAGAAGACATTACTTATCTTGATAAAGGGTTAGAGGCAATGGCAGTAATATTATCTGGCCAACCTCAACTGATGGCTACTTGGAAAGATTTTTCAGTGATATTTTTAGCCAAGCCATACTCTTTTGAAATAATGAGGTTTGCAGAAACAACATGGCTTGTAGCATGTCCTTGCTTTAGCTCCTGTTACTAATCCTTCAAATGCTAATAGAATAAAAGTGTAATGTGTATTGTAATTAAACTCTTAAGGGTTTTAACAAAAGCAACTTATGATATAATATATATATTTATTAACATTGCATAATAATAAATACTTGCTTTTTGCAGGAGTTTTATTGTACTAGGTATTAATCGCTTGATTAGAGGTCAAAATGATGTATCATTTCGGAAACATTTTTTGGAACCATTGACAGCTACTTGTATGGCTGCATCTCAGAAAAAAAGACCTCATTTTTGCACAGGAAGTATTATAGAAGAAGTAATTGTTGTTGAATTAATTTTTGTCACACATGCATATGTATTGTTATGTTTAAAAAACTTTTAAAGAACTGGTTATGTTACCAACCAATAATTAGGCAAAGTCCTTAATGAAGTTATGTTTGTTTGTACATGTAGATCAATTTTAAAAAATAGTATGTAACATGGGTTTCTTTTGTTGTGCTAAAGTTTTGTTCTGTTTGTTTTTGAAGCTCCAAAAACAAATAATAAACCCACAAATTTATTGAAAAACTCAGAGTAGACCACAGAATAAAATTTAAGCTCACAAAGTTCAATTCTCCCCCCCCCCCGAATTCCAACAAGAAACTTAATACTAGATCTATGCAGTAGTTGATTAAAATTATTCGTAAACATTGAAGTTTTTTTGTAGGGAAACAATTTTTTAAAGGACTTGACCCAGCTGATCATACAATATAAATGGGATATTGAAGACTATAATAACATTCTTGAGGATTGGATGAAGATTGTTTTTAATATGATTGATCTCACTGATCAAGAGACAAGGAATCAGTTACTAGATTGGATAAATGAAAAAGAGAAGAAATTATGGATTAATTGGGAATCATCCTATTACGAACAGGTATTACTTATACTGTAATACTTCTCTAGCCTATTAAATTTAATTTTAAAAATAATTTTATTTTGTAGATTGAGAACTTATTAATAATACAATGCAATGAAGTACCACTGGAATACTTCATTAGGATTATTAATACATTGAAAGATGAAAAACTTAACAAACTAAACGTTAGTCGGTCTTCACTTTGATTTATATTTACTTTCTTCTCAAATTTTCAGGTTATAAATGTGTACTTGGGGCGGTTAGATCCAAAGCTACTTTCTGAGAAGCCTGAAAACGATTTTATTAGTCTTGCAATGACACAGTATGCAATAATTTTTTTATATTAGTTTTTTTCTAAATAATAGCATCTTTTAACTGCCCATTTACTTTTATTTTATTTTTTAGTGTGTCTCAATCTAAAGTGCTGATTACATATTTTAGAACTGTCATTCATATGTACTCAAAAGACAAAAAAATTTTGAAGTTTTTTGAAGATTTGATGTCACTTGATGTACTTCCATCTGAGGAATTTAATCAACAGTTAATGAATCAGCTTGAGCCTCTTGTTTCAAATTCAAGTTCAATTCTTCAAAATCAATTTAAAAATGAAAAAGAAAAATTTATTGTGAGTATTTATTACTTCAATAACTTCAGTGTACCTGAGCTATCAAAAAAGCAAAAAGTGTATACCACTCTCAAATGTCCCATGACCACTACTTTATGCCCTCTCACAATTACCTGCTATATTTTAGCTACATTAATTTCACAATTTACTGCAATATTGACTGCCCAGTAATTTTTTCTGCCTTCATAGTTTCTTGTATCTTTACTCATATTTAATTTTTCTTACTATAGTCTATCATACCTCATTCTAATAATTCTTTTAACTGGATGATAACAAAAATGTTGCTTCAGGTAACTATTATTTTAAATTGTACATGTTATTGTCTGACAATTAAAATAGTTCATCATTGAATTTGTTAGCATTAAGCCTGGTTTACGCTCACCACAAAGTGCAACTTAAATAAGCGCAAAATTGAAATATGGCCAGTTTTGTGTCAATTTTTTTACATCAAAGGTCAGATGGCTCATACTGTTTAGTGTTGTTTTAGTATGGAATTGTATTTTAGTTCTAGTTCTAGTTTTTTCACTAAAATAAAAATATATTAATTTTAGTTTTAGTCCTAGTTCTTTGACAAGAAATACAATAATTTTAGTTCTAGTTCTAGTTTTCTGACAATAAATACAACAATTTTAGTTCTAGTTCTAGTTTTTTTACTAAAAATACAGTGATTTTAGTTCTAGTTTTAGTTTTTGGATTAAAAATACAGTGATTTTTTCTTGTTCTACTTTTTGACTAGAAATACTGTGATTTTAATTCTAGTTCTAGTTCTTTTAATTAGACTTTAAAAGCTTGCGTTTAAAGACAGTTAATTAGAAAGGCGGGGCTCCTCCCTGCGCATGCACACTGATCTCATTGTCTTTGTGAGCGTAGTCAGCGTGAGCAGTCGTGGCTACCTGAGCTGAATTTGGGATTTTCTTATTTTCCCTCCCACCTCCCTAGTTACACTTCTATTGTTCATTATTATTATTATTATTATTATTGTTGTTGTTATTATTATTATTATTATTATTATTATTATTATTATTATTATTTATTAGTAGTCATTTATCTCCACTCACTTGAGTGTTGAGCCTCACTTGGGTTTAGTGTTGGTCCCCATCACTCACTCCCCCATCAATGTTTGGTCTGCCTGTAACCATCCTGAGGCTCGTGTCTGTTACCTGCGCTCCCTCCAGGTCGGAGACTACTCTGTGTGGTCCTTGCCCGGGGTGGGATTCTGATCCCAGGGTGACGCCATGTCCTCTTGCCCACACTCCCCTCCAGGGGTGTGGAGACTCCATGTGGCCCATCCCCATATTGGGATCCCATTCCCATGGGGAGGGCATAACCACTGGGTTCCTGGGCCACATCAGGTTCCCGATCCTCATCGGGATTCTGGTCCTGGGATGAAGGGCTCGAGGGCATGGTGTTAGCATGCCGGTCCCCTTCCCTCTTGCCATCCTGAGCAGGTGGGCATTCCCAGATGCCATATGAGGTGTCAGGTTTGGTTGCAGGTACGCAGGGAGGGGCCCTTGTGAAATTCCAAACCTCCTCCCTCCTCTTAAGAGGTTTCCGGAGGCTTTGTTATTAACTAAAATCATAGTAATTTTTGTTCTAGTATTAGTTTAGAGCTAAAGCCTCCAATACTTACGTTCTAGTTAAGTCATGCTAAAAATTAGAGTAATTTAAATACTAGTAGTAGCTCTTAACTAAGATCTTTTTTGTTATATTGCTGAGTTATGTTTCAAATGTACAGCAAATGCAATATATTCAAAATAATAAGTTTTACTGCTGCCAATAAAATGATTAAAATGTCACAGGTACAGTTTATATAAAAATGTATCAGCTATGCTTTGCCTAAAAACATGTTCACCTGTTTATTGTAGTAGTTTGTAACCAATATTTTCAATTCTAGTATTAGTTCTAGTTCTAAGGAGGTTCAATAATTGTAGTTCCAGTAGTAGTTCTAGTATTTCAGGATTAATAATTTTAGCTCTAGTATAGAGTTCTTGTACTTTTAATTAATAATTTTAGTTCTAGTATTAGTTCTAGTTCTTCAAATAAATTATTTTTGTTCTAGTATTAGTTCTAGTACTTCTAATTAATAATTTTAGTTCTAGTATTAGTTCTAGTATTTTAGCTACAAAAAAGTAGTTCTAGTTCTAGTTCTAGTTTTTAGAACTAGAACTAAGCAGAACAATAATTATTTAGCTCTAGTATAGAAGAACTAGAGCAGCACTAGTCAAATGTAAACCTGGCTTAATAGTTATGCTAGCAACAATGATTATTATTGCAACTGTTCCAATATGCATTTTGTAAAACTGCTGAAATAAAGTGTTTTATATACTAGTGTTCAAAATGAATGGTACATATATATGCATAAAATTTCCCACATACTTCAAAGTTTTCTAAAGACTGTGCATGTACCGTACATGTACATAATATAGTATACACAAAAATATTATCAGATTAAAATATTATTAGGTAATCCTTCCAAAAGCGGATTTCAGCTCAGATTATGGCTTCATTTCTTCTTCTTTTAATGTTATGAATGAAGAAGATTTCTATTCTACTAGAACCAGAGCCATTCTTTATGTCATACATTTTGTTTTGAAAAGTGCTCCACTTACAGATTTCAGTTGCTTCGAGAGATCTTCAGGGCCTCTTTTTGTCTTGTCAGAGTTGTTTACTAAGATGTGGACTGTATTTATGAGATTAGGAGGCAATGTGAGAGAGAATTGCACACTAGAAGCTTTTAAAATGAAACTGATAGATAATGAAGAGGTTGCAAATGTTGTTGATATCATTAGTAGTTTAAAGTGTCTAGTTTCTAATATTTCAAAAACAATGGAAACAAATGATATCACGTATGCTGATATTGAAGCAATTCTTAATGGGTATGATGTCTATCAAGCAATTGTTAACGTTACTGCAGGAGACAATGAACTGATAGAGATTACTATAGCACAGTTAGAGCTGTATCACTCTTCATTTGATAAGTGTGTCAAGAAAATTGAAGATCTTTTAGTTAGAAAACCAGAAAATTTTCCAGATTTAGGAAGGTAATCCAGAAATATAACATATACCTTTTTCAATAATGAGCTTTTAATTGTGTATTTATATGCATGAAGGAATCTTCTAATATGCTGTACCATAACAATATACAGCCTATAAAAATTTTTAATTCCTAGACCATATTTAACTTTTATATTTTATATAATTTTTAATTCTTAGGGAACATGTAAAGTCAGTTTTGTCTGAATATGATATTCCCTTTCCAGATGAATTAGACTCTCTGCTTAATGGTTGTGTCAAGCCATCCTCCACAACTATCAACATCTCAGTTTATGAAACTGAAACCATAGCACAACCACTAGTTGTTTTTACATATCAGGCAAACCCTAAATGCTCTCTTGCCACTGTTCAATCTGCTGCTGAACGACTTGAAAGTTTTATTCGGCCATTACTTGACTCAATTGACTTTCTTGTATTTAATAGTTTGCATAAGTCACAAATACTAGAGAAATGCATTCAATATTATCACAATGCCACTCACAAAAGTGATTCACCTATAATTAAGATGCAGATATTAAATGAAGCAGTGGACAAAGCAGGTAGTGTCATAGAGCAGCTAATGGATGCTTCTGGAAACAGTCTCTCAATGAAAACTATTGTTGCAATATTCAAACCTGAGGAACTCAAATCATATGACTTACCTAATGAAGATAAAGAGCTACATCAGTTCTACAAGTTACGGTGTGGCAAGTATTCAGAAATTGCTGCCTCTCAATCTATTATGACATTTTTGGAACTTAATAATGTAGTGAAACGAGTCAGGAGTCTTCAAAATGTTTGCATAAATTTTAAGCTAAGGAAGTGCTTGAATGATCCTATTATGATGAGACTTGTAGATGCATCAAAGGCTGCATTTGATGGAAATATCAAACTGAAGAAGGCTAATGAAGAAGTTCAATTTATCAAAAAAATATTTAATATTGTCAATGGCGGACTAATTGATCATCCTTTCTTTCTATTAATATCATCTTTGGAGAACAATTGTCAGCTTTATGACTTTGCAAATGAACGTGGCTATGGTTCTGTTGAAGGAATGGATATTTTTTTGCAAGAGTATCGTTTAGTCACTACTGATCTTTTATTTGAAGAGTTTGAGGAAGATATATTGGACAAGCTCATTGCAGCAATGGAACTTATATTTCCATTTTTTGACACAACATGCACTTTGGTTGAATTGTGGGGTAATATTGCTAAAATTGGTGACATGAAAGTACTTAAAGTAGCCATTTCTCACTTGTTGACAGTTAATGAAAGGATTGAAGTTATTAAAGACTGGTTTAATCAGGCTAATGTAAGTAAAAGAGATCAATACATAAATAGCCTTTATGGTTGCATTATAAGCTATTAATGTAATTATTTAACCTTTAATATTGTATGGCAACATAAATTCAACAGCTTCTTTACTTTTTATGCTATTTGTAAAATATCAGATTATTATAGCTTCCATTAATATGTTTTTTGATTAAATAGGAAGAAGCTCAAGAAAATAATGAAAAAAAACTTGAAGCGATTCTTAGTTCAGGATGTTGCTGTTTTGACTTTGGTACTGGCTTTCATGTTAAAATTACACTAGAGTTTCAAAAGCATTCATCAGGTTAGAGGCCAAAAATTAGCAATATGGGTATAATTTGTCACTGAATAGAAGAAGTTCAACCGTCCACTCAGAAACCAAAAGTTTTATTACAAAAAGAAATTGAGTCGCTATCACAGGAGTTAGGCTTTGTTAATTACAAACCTGAATCTGAACACGGAAAAAGATTGAATTGGTTTAATTCAGTAAGGAACATTAATATTATTGTTATTTTTGACTTATTTGGTTTACTACTGCAGTATAAGGATCTTGCTTTCAAGCTGCATGATTGTTATTCAGATCTGCAGTGTTTTGGTCATTTAGAATATCAGAATCCCCCTACAAAAATATTTACATTATTTCATATTGATGGAAGTGCTTCTTGGCTAGAGTTAGAAGCTGAGGTATAGTATTTTATAAAAATAAATGTATTGATTATTTATCTGTAAAATCATGCATCTTATAACAATATTGTTACAATAAAGATACCGTGTAGGTCTATCTGGAAATTTATGCTTTAGAAAATTGTGCATGATCTATTTTTATGTGATAAAACTGTGGCATGTATTATTGAATGTGGCTTGTAATTATATAATTTTTGTGAATGTCTAGTCAAGCAAATTAAAGTCATGATAAAAAATTTTCTGAAAGATATATTATTTACTTACTTATATTTAGTATCATTTATACTATTTAATTCACTTTTTTGTATATACTTTCCACAGATAAGAAGATGCAATGACACAAGAAAAAAATTCATTTCTGATCTTGGTACATGTAGAAAGGATTATCTCCTCCTGTCATTCATTAATACACAGAAATTGAAAGTCATTCATGATAGCTTAATCAAGCTTACTGATATAGATAATTTACTAAGAAATGTGGGTTTTTTCTTTAAATTGGATCTAGACTGTTATTCACATTTATTTGAATGTGTTCAGGTTAGTTCTTGTACTTTTGTAACTTTATCCTTCATGATTCAAAAAACATTAATTTGGCTGTAATTTATTTGTTATATCATTTTATAATGTAAGTTACAACTTTATGCAGGAGTTTTTTGTCAGAATAATAAAGAATGTCATGGAAAAATTACCGTAAAACTGTGTCTATTAACAAAACTATGAGAGCTCAGATATGTGGTTGCAATTGGTAGTTTAAAATTAGTGGCTTACCTTCATTGGCTTTAAATGAATTTAAAAGAAGCCTACATGTGTACATGTATTAATTAACTAACTACAGCTATAATTACAATTTAGGCCAAAGGAATATATTAGAAGATATATCTACAAAACTAATCTATTACTTATCATTTAGGATCTTCATACTTTTGTTGAGTCTAATGAGGAAATGAAGTCGCTTCATCCAGCAAAACTCACAGGGGAATTTCTAAAAGAGCTAATTAGCCTAAAATCTGTCCAACCATATTTATTGGATTTTCTTAATCCTTTGGACTCTCCTTTAATATCACAAAAGCATGGACCTGTTAAAGATCATGTCACTTTCACTCTTATTTCTGCACATAATGCAACTCCCATTGATATATTTAGACTTGTTTATTGGACATTTGAGAATTCATTCCCAATGTTTCATCAACTCTTTAGATGCTCACCAAGGACAACAAAAGAAGAAATTAAGTTGTTTTTTGATCGAGTTTTACATTATCAAGCCATTGATAGATACCTTGTATTAGGTGTTAACATCATCAGGAATGACTTGCAACAGGTACTTCACATTAGTGATAATTGGCCTTGCCAGCTATTATTATTTTTGTAATTAGTTCATTAATTGCGTTGATTTACTCTACCAAGGATTATGCATTATTTTTAGTTTTTGTTTTACAGATATTTCTTGAGAAGTGTGCTACTCTTAAAACAACTGTTTCTAATCAATGCAAGTGTCCTGACAATGAAATCAAAATATGTCTTGTTGAATATTGTCCTTCACTTTTTCAACACATACCATGGATATCACAAAATAGCATCACAAAAATAGTAAGGATATTATGCATCATTAATAGTAATGTTAAGGGATAATAATGTAGAAAGATCTTCCTGAATTCAATAGTATGGTCACTGAATTTCAGAAACACAATAAAGGAAAGGCATTTGAAACCTTTGAAGTTGTTTATGGATTGCCAGGTAAGATTTAGTATGATAGTTGTCACAAATAATTTTAATGTATGTGCACCCATATAGAAAAACTAAGGTTGTAGCATGATTGTGGCAACCTTGTAAGAAGTTGGTTGTCAATAGGTTGTCATTACCTGGTCACAACCTTGTAAAAACCTTAGATTTGGCACGTTTTTGGCTTGTGACAACCTTGTCACGATGTACAATCAATTTAATAGAATAACTGTAATCTGCAAGACTATCAACACACACACTGTATAATTATTATTGACATCCTAATCTCATATAGTTTCAAATGATTTCTAGATACTTGTAATGTATCTATGACAGATGTAGCTAATGTATGAAGATGTAGATGTGTATTAATGTTATCTTTATTGACTTGTATAAGTGCTGGTCAATGGTTCCCTTATATATGGTAGCAAGAGTACTAAAATTATGTACTCTTGATGGTAGCAATAGCTTTGCATCATTGTGGGGCACACTTAATAAAACCTCACCCATATAGTCTCACGTAGCCAGACTCTCCATCTCTTTTTGACTTTTGGACGTCCAAATGGTAAAAGGGGGGATGGGTCTGGCTACGCGAGACTATGCAGTTTCCTGTCAACCTCGGACAACCTTGTCACAAGGTTGTTATGTTTCTTATATGTTATAGTCACAACTTTATCACTTTTATACAAGGTTGTTACTAGGTTGCTATATCCTTGCAATGTTGTGACCCAGTTGTAACAACCTAGAAATTTTTATATGCGTGTTAAAGAATAATTGTTTCATCATGAACAGGTAGTGGAAAAACTCATTATATAAGGAGCCGTATTAAAGAGCATAGGAAGAATATAACAGAAAGGATTGTGGGAGCTGATCTTGCTAAGTACATAAGGTCTTTGAGCATTAATGAAACATTCAATAAAACAAAATTGGTTAAAAGATTTCAAGATGATGCCCTTAATTCATCTGATGTATTAATGCATTTAAATATCAATTTAGTGTGGTCTAAAGTAAGTTAGTGATTAATTTTCAAATAATTTAACATGGTAATTTTACAATGAATTATATGAGACTGCAACGCATTTGATACTCTTATTATTTAGAGTGATGATTATAAAGCACTGTTTAATGAGCTAGTGGAGGATATTAATTGGTTCTTTTTTGATTATTTTATTCTTCGATATGTTGAAGTCATGGAATATAAGTCAAGTGATGGAACTCCTTGTACTTCTCCTAAATCTCTATCATTAGTAATACCTACTGGTGTATCAACATCTGTATATGTTGAAGTAATTCATTCAATTTGTTATTTATACTTTTAAAATTATTACTTTATTATAGGCACCGTACTGGAATATTCCACTGACAGAAACTGAGAGGCGAGACTCCAATATGGAAAGTTCAATGGTTTCAAATGGGATCTCATTTAGTGAAATATTTACTGCCTCATTCAGTAATGAGTCACTTAATAGATCAAAAAGCAAATTTGAAGAAATTTTTCCTGTTTTTGCTCTCCTTGGCAAAGTAGTGGAACCACCACCATTGTATGATGTCAGTAGCAGTGGAGTACAGTTAGTTTGTAAGTATCTTAAGGGACATGATGATGAAACAGAAGAAAGACTTGATCATCTTATGAAATGTATGTATACAAGCCCTTGTCCTTTAAAAGGTTGTTTTATTTCTATGTTATTCATTTCATATTAGTAACCGACAACAAGGTAGTTAAAATTGATGAAATCATTAAAGATGTGGATCCAGAAGAATCTCGCCTACTTCTTAAAAAGCACATAGAAAGTGCCTTACCATCAGATTCTAATAATATGATGAAAACTATTTGTTTAAAGTAGACTGACATACAATTTACACTTAAACTAATTATAATACTTCTTCCTACATTATTCATTAGGTATTTGGAGAGACGTTGTCTATTTATGGAAAAAAGTGTCTTTTTCCAACAAAATCTTGGAATTCCTTACCCAGTTATTAGCAAAGATGGCAAAACAATTGGAAACTATAAAACAGCAGAACTGAGGTCAAATGTATTTGCATTGATGTTACAAGAAGTTACAAACTTTTGTAATCCATCTATGTCTTGGTATTCAGAATCTTATCATAAACAGGTAAAAAGAATAGTGCAGAGCTTACTCTTAAATATTATTTTAGCTTCTTTATGATGTTGGAGGTGGTGGGGGTACTTTTAAGCTATTGTGTACAAACCCTGAAAAAATGCCTGATAGAGATTTACAATTATTGAAGAACATTGGCATCGTCATACCATCTTCAAAGTCAGTTGGTTTAAATTTACATAAAAGTTACATGTAGCATCAAGGGAACTAAATTAAGACAATTTTACAGAATTTTATTTATGCTGCTAAATTAATTGTGAAATGATTGAATTTTATTAGTTTTAAATTCCAATGTAACAGATGCATACTGATGTTATTTTTACTAAGTTTATTTTATAGGGAGCGTCTTAGCACACAAATACTCTATGACTACCTTTCTTTTGCTTTAAATGTGAAGAAAGATGAGAATGGTGAGATTGGTCTAATACGGCAAAAGAAGTTTGTCCTCACAAGAGATTTTGTGTTCAAAATGCTTAATATACATGAGAGAAAGGAGTGTGGCATGCCATTAGTTATTAAAGGAGAGACAGGAGTTGGAAAAACTTTTCTTTTAGAGCTACTTTCTGCTCTTTGGAATCATTCGTGGAGTGAACAGTTGACGGTGCAAAGAAATAGAATTAAGGTATTGCACTTACATGAAAATAAAATAGTATTTAATGCAGTTTGTATGGTACTCAGTTTATTGATTAAGGTATATGCACATGTGCAAAAATGTCTCTTGTGTAGGGATTTTTTGTAGAAAAAATAGTAGCACTTCAAGAGGTTGTTAAGACTAGCAACACAGACTTAGAGGAAGTCCTGTCGCTCATGAAGGAAACAGCAAATGATAATATAGAAGAAGCTATAAACATAAAATCAGCTCAAGAGATGATTCGTAGAATATTAATTTTGAAAGACCCTAAGAAAAGCAATAGTTGCCTCTTTACTGTCTTGAGAGATCATTTTCAAGTCATTTTGTATGATCCTGTTATAGCTAGTCTGCAGGTTCCAGTTGAACTTAACACTAATGAACAGGAATTTAATGAACTTTTGACTTTAGCTCTGACAAATTGTGATGAAAATGTGAGTAAAAATATTACTTTGTGGCCACTTAGAGCTGTAACTTTAAAATGACTTAAAATTAATGTTATTAGTTTATGTCGATATGTAATTCACTTTTGTTGTAGATAATGGCCATAGTTGTCTGTGGAATCCTTTATGGCAGATTAAGAGGAACATTTTATAAAAAAAGCATCCATGCAGGTAATAATGATTCATTCTTTTATTATTCACTACTTTTTTAAGCTATGACTGCTGCAGAAATTGAGTCTTTTTTTCGTGATGTTCAGCGTCATGCTGGGTCACTAAAAGCACATTACAATAAATATGTGAAGAATGCTCCCAGAAGTTCTTTGTATCAAAAGCCAGTTCTTACAGTGAGTAACTTTTTTGATGAAATTTGTGTCATTCCTTGTAGGTATTTTTGGATGAGATCAACACTTCGTCTTGCCCTGGCTTTATGAAAGAGATAATTATTGATGGTACAATTGATGGAAGAGTAAGCAATTGTAAATTAAAATATTGTAAACTTATTAATAATTTTAATCCATAAATTTTAACCTTTTGCCTAATTTCATTAAAGTTAATTGAATATGATTGTCAATGTGAATTCGGTTACCTCAGTTGTAAAAATTCTAATGTATGTTAATATACCCACCATTGCAAAAACATTAAACATGAAGGGCATTAAAGTTTAAACATAAAAAATTAAAAAGAAAACAAGATTAAATAGGATTCTAGAGCAAAAGTTAGTACTGCATGCCTACAGATCTATCTTTTATATTAACAAAGGTGCATTATTTTTATCTGCTTTTATACTATCAACAGTATTATTGACTGTTTTTACAAACTAGTATATCGAGACTTGTTTCTGTCTTATTCTAGTCTATATCTTCAGATGGAGAAATTTTTATAGTTGCTGCATGTAATCCTCACAGAGCTGATAGTCTAGCAGCAGTTACCTTAACTAGTGCAAAAGATAGTAAAAATTGGTTTAACCCAACGTATAATGTTCAAAATCTTCCACCAACACTCAAATTAATAATGTGGGATTATGAACAGTTAAAAGAAGCAGATGAACGTGAATATATTAAGGAAAAATTCCACCTTGAATACCCAGAAGTGGATCAAATTCAGTACACTTTCTTTGCTGAACAAATTGCCAAAGCCCAAAACTTAATACGTTTGTTTGCATCTGAAAATTTAAAGCATGATGGAATGAGTGATGATGATGCTGTTCTTTTTGCTCAAAGTACTGTTAGCCAAAGAGACATTCAGAGGGTTTTTAAACTTTATTCATGGCTAAAGAAATGGTTTATGAGAGACACCAAGTATAAAAATGAATCAGAATTTCAAGTCTCTGTTCGTGCAGTTTTTGTATCACTTGCATTAGTGTATTATTTTAGATTAAGCAGTGACGGAGCAGAGAAAAAAAGAAGTGAAAGTATTAGTAAAGAAAAAGGAGGATTTCGTAAATGTTTCAGAGAAAAGATGCATGAAGACCGTAAAGTTGGTGAATGTGGTGTTCCAATTACTTTTGATAAGGCATTAGCTGATGAATTAGCATGGGTCACTGAAAACATAGCACTTCCAAAAGGTATAGCACCAACTGAAGCACTAAAGGAAAATATCTATGCCATTATTGTATGTGTAATGACAAAAACTCCAGTTATAATTGTTGGCCCACCAGGATCATCGAAAACTATCTCCTTTAAAATAGTAGCATCAAAATTCATAGGAACAAAATCAAGCAAGGAGAGCACTGAGGACTCTGATTTGTTTAAGAGTATTTTCCCTCAATATTATCAGTGTTCTCGTAAATCAACATCACATGAAATTGAGATAGTATTTCAGAGAGCAATTGTGCGTCAAAAAACCTTTAATGAAAAAGGTAGTGACAACCTGTCAGTAGTTTTAATGGATGAAGCTGGTATACCTGAATACAGGCATGAATCTCTTAAGGTTCTACATTACTTTTTGGATGATCCACTAGTAAGTTATAGTTGAGAAAATTTGATGATAGTTTTTAAAATAATTATATTAATTTTTCAGGTTTCATTTGTTGGCTTATCAAATACAGTATTAGATGCTGCTAAAACTAATCGTGCCATTAGTGTTTATAGAACTGAAGCTTCTCATGATGACCTACTGCAGTTAGCAAAATATTCATTTTGTCATGGTAAACCTAATGGTAGCATTGATGACAAAATAGAGATTATTGAGGGTTTTATAAACATCTATGAACAAATGATGAGTATTCCTGATTTCAGCAGTTTTTTTGGCTTGAGAGACTTCATTCATTTTTTTACTTATCTTAGCAGTGACCAGCAAATCTCACCTGAATCTGTTGTCAAAGCTTTAGAGCAAAATTTTAGTGGAACTGAACATTTTGATGAAATATTATGTGCTTTTCTTGAAAATGTAAGTGCTAAAATTTGTTGTTTTTTAAAATTTAATATTCTATGCTACAGATTGGTTCAAAACCCAACAAAGTGCAACGAAGGTCATTGGTTGATATATTACGCAGTAGCTTTGTGCAGGAGCCACAAGATTTACTCTCTGAGAACAAAATGCGGTACAAGTTACTTATTGATAGTAGTGAGGATCAATCATTGATCAGACTGCTTTTTACTTTTGGTATACTGAAAAGAAATAAGACTAAAATACTCTCTTGCTCTAAACTTCCTGGAGACAGTGATGCACAAAAGGTAAGAACTTTTAGCTACTAATAAATTAGAAAATTTAAGTATGCTATGCACAAATTATAATAATTATTACAGCAAGGTATAAAAGTGCAGACACTGAATTAAAATCCCACTTGTTGTTGGCTTTTGATAAAGTGTGCTAAGTAAACTGAACAGCATGCTTCATTTGCTGACAAAAGAGCATATACATGGCATTTGGAGCAACTCTGGAATTTATTTTCATCAAATCAGCTCAAAATTTTTATGCATCATAAATGCATGTAAGGAAGTTTAAGACAAGTGAATTGTCACTTAAATGATATTTATGTTATTATGTGGTTGACTAATTTGAAATAGCAACAGAATTACTAGTAGCTACAATTGCAGTGTTACTAAGTAAGTCTTGTTACCCTGTCCCTGTGACAATTGTTAAGCTTGGGGTGTTAGTGCATGTACTCCTGTACCTTGCCATCTTTTGTGTTTTTAATTGTTATTGTGTTATATTAATTTTGTTGGCTGTTCATATTATTATCATTCCTATTTTATTAAAAGCTGTACACTTCCACTGCCATACGACACTCTGTCACACAAGGGCACACCGTTCTTATTTATCAAGCTGAAGAAATACAAGAATGCTTTTATGATCTATTCAATCAGAACTTTACATGCATCAAGAATACTCTTAATAATGAGGAAATGGTTTTTCACTGTAATGTAGCTATTGGTTCTGTCATGAAGCCAACTCGTGTGAGTCCTTGTTTTAACTGTGCCATGGTCATAAGTCAGTCCGAGGTTCAACATACTGAGAGACCTTTCCTCAATCGGTTCGAAAAATTCTCCTTAAGTCATAAAGTATTACTGAAGGAAGCTTTATCAATCCACTGTCAGAATATTAGAATCCTTTTTGACATTGTCACAAAAGATGTAAGTTAATTGATTTGATGACAGAAAAATGTGCATTAACTTTGATATAATCTTTTTTATTATTAGATAATTGAGTTTGTTCAGAAATGTAGTGAATCTAGTTTTTATGGTTTCACCGATCAAACAATTGATTCTTTGTTGCTATCACTTGTCTCATATCATGGATTTGAGGATAGTTATGACACAAATTTTAGTGAAACAGCAATTCCCTGTTGTTACAGCAAGAATTGTCAATGTGATACAAATGAAGGATTTTTTATTAGAAAAGTTGTTGCCCTATTTTCAGATATATTTAACATTTCATTATCATTGGTTAGTAATTTTGATACCTCTATCATTATAATAAATTTTCTTATTAGGGAGACTGTGAAGAATTCTGTGAAGTTATTAAGCACATGATGCTTCGAAATGATGATAGAATTGTAAGCTATTTTGATGCTGAATTCGACCAAGATAAAATGGCAACTTCTTTAAAAAAAGATATTGAGAAGGTCTCTTCTGCAAATTTGTTATCAATCGAAAGTTTCCCTCTATCTTTATTGAGAAAATTAATCGTTATGCATCTTACCAATCAACTCCTCCATTTAATGACACCAGAGGCACTTGTAATACACAGCAGAAGAATAGAGCCATATTATAAAATTTGTTATCTCAACCATCAGCATCACTTCTCACTACCAAATATTGTTCAATCTCAGTTAAATCTATTAAAAGATCGTAATGTAGTAAAAAAGTTCCTTTGTTACACACGTACCTCTCCAGCACTACTTGAGCTGTTATCAGCACATTCTTCTTGTTCTTTTAAGACAGAAAAGGAGCGGAAAGTGTTGGAGGAATTTTTTACGTTGGATTCAAAATTGTTTCATACTTACATTATTACCAAGTCAACTAGTCAAGAAAAATTAAATATTGTCCTCAGCCAGTTTTTTAGACACGATTTCCAAGTTCTTCTTCTTTGGGGTGACATGAATAATCTTAGCAAAGATACTGTAAACCATACTAGACTACTTATTGAGGAAGCAGAGCGCATGTTGCAGAGTCTTAAAATAGGTAAACTTGTTTTTCTCATACTTCATTTCCCTTCTAACATGTTTTACTCTCACTGCTATCCATCAATATTTCTCAAAGGCTGGAGACACATTTATATGGACATGATTGGACAGACAGAAACAAATACAAGCACAAATGTGGAGGAGTGGCTCAGGATATGTCTCTTGCCTAGTCAAAAATGTTGGGCTTACACTGAAACTAAATCGATTAGCTTCATTCCAGACAAAGTATTGACAATGTGGATTGAGAAATGGCTTCCTATGATCTCAAGTACCATCACTATTCAAGAGACTAAGGGTTTCCCAGGTGCTCGAAGTGCCAAGGACTGCTGGAGTCAAATGTTGTTTGAATTTAAAGTGGAAAAAGTGATAAGGAGAAGATTTAACAATTATTGGCAGAAGCGCACAATGTATGATTTATCACTTCAGGCAGCAAATTATGCCATGACTTACCAATCAACTCGTACCCTTTCCAGTACAATAGAGGCCAGCATACAATCAAATTTTAAGAACTTTGTTCTTTATTTTCTATCACTCATCAACCAAAATATGGCCATGCACACTGTGCTTCTAAAGACAGAAGAAAATCCAAAAAAATCAGATGACATTGGCAAACCCTTCTTATGCATGCTCTCATCTCTTCATCTCCCAGAATCTCTTGAGGAGATTAAATTGGGACTAGCTATACTGAAACATCAGAGCAGTTCTTCCAGTGATAGAGCAGTGTTTGTGCCTCAATTTTGTTTTTTTCCTGTTGTATTTGAGTACATTGAAGTGCTTGTTAACAAGGCATTACACCTAATACATGCACCTAAACCTCTTACATTAGTTGCCACGGAGGAATCAGAAATTGGGAGGAAGAGGTTAGGAAAAATTAAAAGTTTTGATCAGGAACAGAATGTGGTTGAGGATAAGATAGCAGAATTACTAAGGCAGGTCAGTATTATATTAAATAATTTCTATTCTTCTTCAAGCATTATGTTTCTGTTATTGTTGCAAATCATGAATTTGCCTGACACTTGTAACTTCAGAATATAGGAATTCTGTATGCTAGTGCCCTATTTATGTGCTAACTTGTGAAATTATTTTTTATGTTGCTATGTTGTAGTACAACTAAAGCATAAAGCTAATAGCTATATATGCAATACCATGCATACAGCATTTCAGTCCACACATGTATTTGCAAAAGGAGTTCACTTTATCCAGATATATTATTTGATATGAGTTATTATTAGGAAAATGATACAGTCATCAAAGTTGTTCTTGATTTGCTGAAAGATGAGTCTCTTTGGTCTGACTATTTTTCTGATGCTATAACAAAACGACTTGATCGAACTCTTGGAACTTTTTCCGAAGTCTACCTAAAGCAGCACTTATCAAAAGAAGCAGGTTAGATAAACTGCTCATCAGTCTTCTTTTTTGTGTTGCTTTGTGTCAATGTTATGCGATCTGTATTAGAGCAAATTGTAGATTAAAATCATCATTTTTCTCCTCTATTTTAACTTGGTTTTTATATTTATTCCTTTCAGATAATGTTCCATTGAAGCTAGCAATGTTGCACTATCACTTAAGGGTCTCATGGTTAGATGCAAACTCTCTTTCCTTATTAAGAATACTTGATGACTGTGCACAAAATGCTCCAGACAAACTATCAGCAAATGTGAAACTTGTGGAAGAGCCAGATGTGATTGAGCATATTATTGTGTTGCTTTTTACTTGTCTTACAAACTGCTGTACTGGTTGTACAGACACCTGCATGGATTCTGTTAATAAGCTTGGAAGTTTGTTTTACAAAATGGTAAGAAATAATTTATTTGCACTGCAAACTAGAAAGAGGCAAGGGTTAGTAACTTTTAATGGGTCACACACCTATAGTCTAAGCTTAATTGTGCTTTATTAAAAATGCTTAACACTTGGTAACCTGTGTAATGACTAGCTGCCTGTGAAGGCTGTGGAAAAGAGGGCGAATAAATACAGGCTTTATTTAGCCTAATTAAGAGAAAAGTTTATGAAAAACTAAAAAGTCTCTCCTATCCATTTTTGATGAAATAATAGTGTTGTGACGAATGACATAACGTTATATATAGCTGTTATTTTGCAGAAAAGGTTGAAATTTTGGCAAACTTTCTAGTTTATATTGTAAATTGGTTGATTGTCAATAGTTTTATAAAAAAATTAGGTTTTATTTGCTACCTATTTACCCATTATATTAATATAAGTAAAATAAAATAAAAGCAATTCTAAATTTAGCATGCATGCCACAATTGCTATGCAAAAATTACCATCATACAAAATAAACCAAATTTACAGTGTAATTGTTAAAAGTAGCAGGTTTTGTTTTAGCAAAAAGCTATTGAAATGCTAAATTGTCAAATTTTTCCTCCTACACTAAACTACAAGCAATTTTCACCACAACTCTAAAAAGATTCATTTTCTACTGAAGGACATGTATGAATTTGCTGCCACTCAACCCTGTTCTTGATGTCCAGGCAGAGCCTGATGCTTGCATAGGATGGAGAGTTAAAGAGGTATACAGGTTTTTTTTGAGCAAAATAGTAGAACTGATATTCCAGGCTCCACTTACATGACTTTTAACATCACCCTTAACCCTGTTTATTGTTGGATTCCATTTTTAAAATGGCATTTACCAAATTTTGCCTTGCTAATAAATTATATTAAACTACTATTAATCTAGACTGCTATACTTATTTTTTACAGATGAACTTGTTCAAAGTTGAATCTATTAGCAGCTTTTCAGCTCCACTGAAAAATAAATGGATTTTTTTGTCTGTTGTTTTCAAACTCAACCAGTTAATGACAGTTGATGAGACTCTTGTTTTCCAATGTACTATTGATCAGTTTATACTGGAGTTACTAAGAACTTTGTCATCAGCTATAAATTCTGTAAGGGTCTGAAAAAATTTTGTATTTTAAAGGTATTGTATAAGCTTTAATTAATTATTTTTAATGATTATTGTAATGCCAATAGTGGATTTATAATGCGTGAGTAATGCTGTGTAGCCACAAAGTTTCAAGTCAATATATTATGTGAATGAATTGAGCATTTTGTACAAGTACATGCAATTGATTTAGAAATTGAGTGAATATGCAGTGGCTTGTTGTAATTTTTTATTGTTTTGTTAATATAGGAAACTGTTATTAATTGTACTGCTTTAACTGATACAACAGTTGATATTGCTTTCAAACAAGGAACTGTAATTGAAATGCTGAGCATGATTTCTCCTCCATCAAACGAGTTTTATGCTATCATAGAAATGATCTTTGATCACTACATTACATTTTACTCTAAAGAAATCACTGAGGATTCAGCAACTTCCATGTTTAAACTAATTGGTTTGATTGTTAATAAACTCATTTTGCAAGAAATGGATGAAACTTTAGCTAAATACAGATATCATTTCTCCCAACTACTCATTAGTAATGACAACAATGATGATTCTAGTGAAGATACTCTAAACCCTCTTCTCTTGTTTAATATCAATGTAAGCCAAATCTATCGAAAGAGACTGGTATGCATGTTTGTGCAAGTGGTTTTTATGCATTTTTATTGTATAGATGCGTACTGGTTTGTTTAAAGCTATTGAGCAAGAAGTCAACATAACCGAACCTTTGGTGTATGTCCCAACATATTTTAAGTATTGTTCAAAACTGATTGATTCTAATGTAAAGTAACAAAATTTAATAATCATTTTATCTGTATTGTATTAATTATGTTAGTCACAGTTATTGCATATTCTCTGTGATATGTACTTTGAGGTGACTAGACAATATTTGCAAGGAAAATGTCATACATTCTTAGAACTGATATCTTTCTATGAGAAGGTATAATAATAATATTAAAATTCATAATTATTTTTAATATGATAGGTCAGTGCTTGCTCTAATGAAAGTCCAATGGCTGTCGCAATTGAAAAACAAGCCATTGTTCATGTAATCATCAAGTCCTTTGCAGCCACCCTCTTGAAAGATGAAAATGAAAGACAAGTGGTACATAGATTAAATTATTATTGACCTACATACCACTATTTTTTTTTACAATAGTTAGCTGACTGTTGTGACAGGTTGAACCAAATTATTATAGAGAGTAATGTTGTTGAGATCAATGCAGAAAATGTGGTAATATGTGGTAATGGACTTGTCTTATTAATGAGGTAACATCTGAGCACATAATAATGATTTTCATATTATTTTAAAATAGGCTGCTTAGTGCTTGTAGGAGTGAGAAAGTGCTGTGGAGTATGATGGTGACACAGTTTCAATCTAATCTTTGTGATTATGACATTTTGCATCCAATAAACAAAATCCTTAGTCAAAAGGTATTTTACAATTGTACATACTACTTGTTACATTTAAATATTTAGGAATATTCTCCAGATCAATTCACTCTTTTGTTGTACATAAAACAAACTATTCCAAGCAGACACCAGTTATATTCTCGAATACATGATTTAATTCAAAGGATAATAAGGACTAGTGGACAGAGGGGAGTTGATGAACTGATGGCTATTGCTCTAAAATGGTAGGCATGTTGTTAAGATTGTGATAATGAGTATAATTAAATCTGGGCTAACACTTTTCAGGGAAATAAAAATGATTTGTTAAAAGTTATCATTAAGTATTCATGATTCAAATTACATACAGAATTTATTATTGTGGTTTTATTCAAGTTTTACAACTTTATATCAATTGATTTTCAATTTATTTTAATAGCTACAGTAACAAGAATGCAATTGAGAAAACTAATTGGACATTCAATATGTCTATCTTCATTTCAGTTTATGAGACTATGTTTTTAAATAAATATTCAAGAAGAGCTGAAGTTGTTCAACAGGCTTTAGATGAAAAAATTGGACAGTATGTTGATGAACTCTTTCTCAAATTTATGAAATGGCTGTTAGATCAAAAAGATTCGCCAGATAAACTTCAAGACTTTTTTGTCAGAAGTAAAAGAAATATTAAATTTTTCTGCTTGATTTTAATTTTATTTTAGATGAAAGGGACAAAGAACATGTTGAATGTATCATGAATTTGGCAACTGTTTTATTTGGTGATGAAGAAAATTCTTGTCATGCCTGGGAACATCTTTTCTCAGTTCAAACTATTGCTTTAGGTTTTGTTCCAGGAACTATGGTATGCTACATAGCTTTTAGGTCACACAATGTACTGGTCTTGCCCCACCCCTTTAAGAAGGGACAGAGCAAGACTAACAATGTACCAATAATTATAATTTTGTTTCTTCTTTTTAAAAACAAATATAGGTAACTGGAACATCTGATTCCGGATATTTGGATGTTGTCTGTACATCTGACAAAACACTTTGTTTTACAAAAAGAAAAAGTTTGACATGGTACTCATTGATATTCACTCAGTGGATGAACTATGGACTGCTCTGTCTCTCATTTGCTGTGATGCCATCCAACGTCGAGAACTTTATTTTTAAACAAGCACCTGATGTCATTTCAAAGTGTATTGAACGCTCAAAAGAATTGTGGGAAATGTTAATGACTGAATTTAACCTAACACATGAAGAGAGGAAAAAACTTGTCTCCCGTGGAGTTCAGAATTTATATCAGGTATAACTAGGAAAAAATAACAATAAGAAAGGTTCTGAATTTATCTGAATTATGTTCATGTACATAGGTATTGAATTTTGGTAGGCTAAAAATAGCCTGGGAATGTCTCAAAGAGACTCCAAATGAAGAAAATCTTTCTAAATATGAGTGCATTCTACATGACGAAGTCTTTTTACCTGCATTTAAAGCAGTAAAAGTATACAATATCTATTGTAATGCAAAAAGTTTTTGTTTGTTAATATTTTAGAATGATAAGAAAAAGTTTTCTATGTTTGGAAATACTTTAGGTGATCAAATGAGGTAATTATATAATCTTGTTAGGATTTGTATGAAGTAATAGCTAATTTTGGGGTTGCATGGGCATTGTCTACTTTTGTGTACACTAAAAGTGCCATAAATTCATCTTTACTTATTATAATGCAATATTTTTGTCAGTTTGCATTATTTGAACTATCTGACTTACTGATCTTATTTTTGTAAATATAGGGAACTGTATGTTTTTGTTCCAGAGTTAAACATTTGTCCTTCTGACTTGTGTAGTGGATTCTTACTCACTATCTTCTTCTCAAAGAACCTCTATAACAAAAAATGCTCCTTTTATGTCTTATATCAATTTTTGATTAAGCGCCCAGCACTGAATATAGGTGCTCATCTTCTTCCTTGTTTGATAGATTTCTACAACTGGATACACTCTCAAGCCTCATATAAAGTCACATTAGAAGTAGCCAAAGAAACTTCAGCACGGCAGATTTTAACATCAATACTCCAACAGTACTTTCCTGAACAAGAGGAAAAAAGATTGAATCAATTGGACAAAATAAATGGTTTCTGATATTATCATGTACATTTATTCTGCAGACACATACACAATCGCTAAATACTATAGTACTATTTTTATATTAATAAGTTCATTCTTATGTCATATATTTATCATTTTCCATTCCTAGAAATGTATGAACGCTATGTAGAAACTAGTGGAACAAAACCAGTAGAATTTAGTACTGGAATTAGTTTTTTTGATGTGGTATCAACTAATGATGGAATGGATGCATTACTGAATATAATACTACACATTGTAAAGACATTACTACTAATAATTAATATTATCTTTTAATCATCATATTTGTTTTGTTTAGATTGACGGTTATAATTATTTTTTTGAAATGGTCCATAGTCACCAATCTACCAGTCATTTTCTAAAGTACAAGTCAGTATACAAAATATCAATGTCTGAGATTACATATGATACTTGTTCATTTGGAACTTCGGAAAAGTACATTTATAATTGATGTGCTACTGCTTCTATTCTCTTTTGTTGCAGTTGTTATGATGTTAGTGATATAGAGCCAATACTGAAGAAGTATCATTCATTTAATGTTGGATTTAAATTGTATGACCTATATCAATTTGATGAGTCTATACTGCTTAATACTGTACCCCAGGTATGCACATTATTATGATAATTATTATCTAACAGAATGCATTTTTGAAACAGTTGTATTGAGTAAAAATTGGTTTTTAATAATTACTACAATTAATTTGAGAAACCTTCTTTTAAACCTACTAATTATTATTATTTCTGTTTTTAGATATATCATCTTGGCAATATTCAAGATGAAATAGTTCAAAAATTCATTGTTCATAAGCACCTTGTCAGTAAAGAAAATTTTTCAAAAGTGTTTTCTTTTAGTGAATGTTCAACATGTGAAGATGTTCCCCGAGGATTGTGAGTGATGCATTATTGTTTGGTAATGATGTATTTCCTATATAGGTTTATTACAGCTACTTATGGATACAATGAAACTATTAAAATTCTAAGTAACTATCCTTCATTCATTGTAAGTATGATACATATTGATTAATGCATCATTTTGTGTCCTATTATGGGTCAATGGGCAAAGTATAACATATATAGGAGTGAAAAGACCACAAAACTATAGTCAATTTTTACCCAGAGCACCAATATTTTAATTTTTTGCTCTGTTACCCACTTTCACCACTTTATTACTTTATGCTATAAAACCTTATCAGCCCTGGGAAAACTAATTGGAGCAGCCTAAACTGCTAAGCAATGATATCTTTGAGTAGCTATTTCGTCAGTAATTTTCCCAGCTTTTGGTATTATGAATATTTTCTCAGAGCAATTTTACTGATGAAATAACATTGCTGTCATAGTGTTTGATTTAAAAAGTTTACACAATATAAAGTTTTGATTGGGATTAGCTCAAGCTAGCTTCTATACTCAACAATAGAAAACCTGAATAGAAATACCTGAGCTATAAACATGCTATTGACTGCATGATTTTTAAATTCAATTTTATTGAAACTTACTGCGCCAGATACTTTTGAGAATGTTTAACAATAAAAACATATTGATTTTCTTGTGACATTTGCCATTCTTGGTAAGTGCATTGCTCAGAAATAAGCAGCCCTGGCTTATTTCACACCCTGCTCACTATAGTAGTGTAATGAGTATATACTATTAAATATGACTTATTCACCATAGAAAACTCTAACATGGAAGGAACAAAATGAACTTGAGAATCTGTTTCATTCTCTCCCTTACGATAGTCTTTTAAATGTATGTGGTGGTCTCTGTTTGGTATTAAAAGTGTTACTGGAGGTAATGTGAGACTGTATACACACTATATGCATTATGGGATTTTAAAAATTAAATTTTGTGAATTTCCTGAATCAGAAAAATTAAAATTGTCTCTATAATTGCCCACTTTATAAAAATAAGAAATTAAATATATTTATACGTGAACCTAGATTTACAATATATTGAAACCAATATTTGTTATGTTACTAAACTGTATTTATGTTTCATACAGAAAGTTGTAGGACAAAAAAGATTTGAGATATCCTCATTGACAATAAGAATGTTCTGCTTAGAGTCCAATATTGATTTGAATGATGTTGGCATTGCACTGTGTTCATCTGATTGTATAACTGGGTAAGCATCAATCTTTTGTTAGTAAATATTAGAGATGTACCAATAAACAGATCAGCTTGTCAAATATTGACTTATTGACCATTTTTATGGTTTTTTCCATGCATATAGCCAATTATGACAACACATGGCTATGTGCTTGAAAAAAAGGTTAATTTTTTAATTGTCATATAAAATAATGATTCTAAAACTAGGACTATTGAGGATTCTAAATATAAAAATCACACTCTACTACAGCATTTCGGTATAGTGCTTATTGTCAATGAATAATTTTAAAAGTTACTTCAAACTTGGTATACAATAGTACAGGTTACTAATCGTTGGAAAAAATTCTTATATTGTATAGAAAAATTTGAGATGATTTTGATCAAAATTAGATTTTTATGAATTTATTAGTGATTCATAAATATTATTAGGCCAAATGACCATTATTATGAAGTACAGAGCCTTTGGCAAAATTTCATCAAAAATAGAAAAAAATTTACAATTTTATGTATTTTTTTCTGATGTACTTTATAATGTTGTGTAGAAAGTCTGTTTTCAATCAAAATTGAATATCTTATGATTATTTACTTGGTCAAAAATCAGGCCAGGAACTAAGGCCCTATGCTCAAATTTTGCCTAAATCAAAGAGAAGAGAATTTTCTATTTCTAGTTTTATATTCTTTTCCTGGTACTTATGTTGTGTATCAAGTTTAAGCTGATTCCAATTGTAATGGGGGTGAATCCTACTTAGTAACGCTACCGCGTTACTAATTAGATTTTCATAAATTTTTAGAGTTACTCGATAAGTCATGTATTATTAGCTCTTTGTGGGAAACCCTGCACTGTGCATGTATAGATCTGTGCCTTTTTGAGAAAGAATAATATCAGATCAGTTATCAGTGTTGTCTAGTATTAGCTATGGTAATATCAGTTATTAGAATATCAGCAAGAGTAGATAATTAGTTATCTACTTATGATATCAGTAAAAAGCCATTTTTGTGCATCTCTAGTAAACATAATTATTTCTTTTAACCTATTATTAAGGCTTTCAAAAGATCAGTACAATCATGTTTGTGAAACTCCAGTGTCATATGTTAAAGCAATGTCTGAATTATTTCATGAATGGGTCAAAATTGGTTTTTATGACTTTTGGCATCTTCCATACTGTCTGAAAGTAAAGTTAAACAAAGAGATTGCGGAGAAAATTGAAAGTGAAGGTATACATTTATAGACACACAGTTTCAAAATTTTGTAATTTTTTGACAGATGAGGATACTATACGAAGCACAATGCATCAATTATTTTCTCTGGAGCAACTGATATGTAAAAAATCCACAAAAAGCTATACTACTAAAGTATTGTTGTCCATATTGTCGGCAGTACTTATTGTTGTTATCACTGTGTGAATAGATTTCTGATGTGGAGAAAGATAAGAAACTTGATTCATACCTTTTTTCCTTGCCAATAAAATATTATGTGTATTTGCAGCTGGCATTGAGAAGGTAAATTCCTTATATTTCTAAAAAAAATAATTATGTGTGCCATAAAATTATGTACATGAATACATGATTTTAATAGGAGGCTATTAAAACTGCTAGAAATGAAACAGAAAGAGCTGCACTATGAAAATATGAAAGAGCAAGTAGAAAAGGCAAAAGTTAGATCTCATCCTTCTCCAACTCCAACTCAATTAAGGTTTGTTTGTGCTATAGTTGATCGTTTTTTATGTCATAAAGCTGTCCTGTCCAAAATTTGTCCTTGGTTAGGATTTCTTATTATAAGTTTTGTTGTTGGGGTTTAATATTTCAATTGGGTTTTGTTTTTAGCTTTTAAGAACCAAATTTAGTCAATGGGGCCAATATACTGTAAGGAAAAATAATGCAAACAATGCTTTTTGTTGCGGTACCAAATTTTTGGTCTCGCCAGCAATTAGCATTGACGAGGACTATGTAGCTAAGTGTATAGTTCATTCATTCATTCCATCCAAGAAGTAACTCTCACTGTGTTTCATGACACATTATTATTTGCAGAAAGATGGCATCTGTTAATGAAGTTTTGCCAATGAACGCAAGTAACTATGGAGAGTCAAAAGCAAGTTTTGGCAATGATAAAGCCAACTCTGGTAGCGATAAAGCAGCCACTCCTGATACTACCACTGTAAACAATCAAAATGCAATGTCAGCTTCTTACTTGACTGCAGGTAAAAATAGTCAGTTTAATATTCAATTATGCTTTTGAATTTTATTAATTAAAGCATTAATTTTATTTATTGCAGGTGGAGATTTATTGGAAGCAGCTAGTAATCTCTCCGTAGGAGACGTTGCTAATTTGTTGCAAAGAATAGGATTACAGAAAAGCTCAGAAGTTGTACTTGAGAACTCTTATGATGGTGCATTATTATACTCGCATTTGACATCGGGCGAAGAATTAGACCCTGAGGAATTAGGAATGAATGATAAAATAGATGAACTGAGGTTTCGGGTTGTATTTAAAAGAGTTTTAGAAGGAAAGGAACCAGAACACCCATTTTCATCTCAAAAATTAAAGGAGTTTCTTAGCAATCTTGGTCAATTTGTCAAGGTAGGACATAAATACATGTCACTCAAAAGTTTAGCAGGTCGATTAGCATTAATTTCATAAAAATTGCTTTATTTTCTGAATACCAGTGTATCTTTCAAATTTTTTTTCAGCAAAATACTGTTGTTGGTCAATATTATCTTTTTTATATTTTTAGATAGGACAACTCGTTGAAGAAAGGATGATTGATGGAGAAATGCTGCTTTTTGCTAATAATGAAATATTTCGTAATCTTGGAATCAAATCTTTAAGTACAAGTCGAATTAAGAGGGAGCTTCAAAACAAATTAAAAGATTTCTAAAGAATAGGTTTTTTCTTTATTTGTGTGTTAGAATTTATATTGTTAAGGTGCTGGATTACATTTTTTACTCATTCTTTTTATAGAAATAATTAGTGTTTATTATTAGCTTTTGTGAAACTAATAAATGTTATTTTTGCTTATAATTGTTTAGCTTAATTTATCCAGTATTCTAATTTTCTGTTAGAACATGTATTATCAGAAAAATTGCATAAATGGAGAATTCTTTCCTGGCAATTTTGAAAAAAATACGATGGATCAGGGTTTGTTACACAGCTTGATAAAGTACCATAGATCAGGGTTTTCCATACAAAGCTCTATACTGAACAAGGTAAACAGCATACTTCATGAGTTATGAGCTTACACTGGAAAACTGTGATTGTTGCACTTCCATCTAGATGTATACAATAAATTATACACTTGATCATGTAATGTGACTATTTCCCCGTGTTTGTATTGAGTCATTCTGCTCACATTGGCTGTGTATGCAAGGATCCTATGAAATTCATGTACGTGTAGTGTAGTAGTAGTGCACTATAATAACAATTTTTATAAAAAATTATGTTCCCAATTACAAATAAGAGTACATGTGTACTCTTAGTAATTGTAAATCAGCTTTTCATTACAATTGTAATTATAACTGACCCCAGGTCTGGTATACACTCTCTGATTAAAAAATACTAAAGGCCTTTTCACACTGGCACAGTTTTCAAAGCGCTTTGATGCGCTTTGTTGATACAGCTGAAATAATGCGCATTGATCGTGTTCACACTAACAGCTGAATTATGTATCATTTTGTGTTCTTGTTGCCATTGGTTTACATTGATCGAAGCGCATCACTTCACATGCATCAATCCACCTCTGGAGGGTTGTCCCTAAAAAGCGGACCGGACCGGACCAACGGACCCGAAAAGACTAATTTACGGACCGAGCGATGGACCCGATACAAACTAATTTATGGACCCGACCAAGGGACCCGAAAAGACTAAAGTACGGACCCCGCGTTAATGACCACGGACCTGACCGACCTAGAGCATAGATATCTATGCTAGCATCAGTATTTATGATGCTAGCAAACTCCATGATGGCCTAGACAACATACAGAACTTCAGTGACAAATATAATTTTTTATCAATAGAGATAGATCTACTATCAGTTGAGTAATAATACAATGCAGTGAGGCCGTAGTTTATTGATAAAGTCTGTAATATCAACTTGAATTAATTTTACACTTGTTCAAAACTAATAATAATATTATATCTAGTAGACTATAATAATCAATTGTTATATTCATGCATCAGCAATTTATGTATTAATTAATTTATTTAAACTTGATAGTGACCGGCAATGAGAATAGAGTTAAGAGGCTAGATAAAAAGAAACACCAAAGGCCTGACCAAGGAAACATGGCCAGCCAGAAAGAAAAAAAAAAAGATGAGAAAAGAAAGAAAAAGAAACAAAAAAAAAAACTAATAAGAAAAAGTAAAAATACAATCAAAATTAAAACGGTAGTAATGATGA